AAAAAAAAAAAAAAAAAAAAAAAAAAAAAAAACACATCATAGTAAAATTAATACCTTCTCAGCTTCGCATCGAAGCTAAAAAGACCATTATATAAAAAATTCAGATTCAAAATATATATATATGCGCAAAAATGAGACGATACCCTTATTAAAAACATGCACGTGGGAAAAAAAAAGCTCGTAAAACTGTAAAAAATGAAAGGATGGAATTAATTTTATATATTTCAGAAATGTCTTTGGGCGGGTCTAGTGAAAATTTCAAATCTTAAGTCGTAAAACGTTGGTGCAGGTGAGCGTTTTTCTCGAAAACAGTCGAAATTTTAAAATGCTCGTGGCCGAGCAACAAAAGTTTTCCGACCTTCGCCAATAATTTTCCCGGAGTCTGATGGTCGAGTATTTTCGTCGAAAAAAAAAATTGAAAATGGATGCACGCTTAGTAATTTTCCCAGAAAAGCGTTTTTTTCCTAGTTTATAATAAGATAGGTTAAGAAATGTCAAACGTTTATGATAGTTTCAAAAGTTGAGTTAAAATACGTATTCGATATGCACAAAAATTTTTTTTNTCAAAAGTTGAGTTAAAATACGTATTCGATATGCACAAAAATTTTTTTTAAAAATATAGTTTAAAAAAACTAAAAAACACGCTTTTAAAGCACATCGAACTAAAAAGTTAAAAATAATTTTTATAATAAGCATACAACAATAATGTACGAAAAGTACTAGTATTATTGTGATAAAAGCGTCGGGCGCTCAATATACGAAAAATATGGCACAAAGCACCCACCCTTTTTTTCACATAATACTTGTATTTTTCGTTCATTATTGTTTTATGGTCATTTTAAAAATTATTTTTAATTTTTTAGTTTGATGTGCTTTAAAAGCGTGTTTTTTAGTTTTTTTAAACTATATTTATTTTTCACTTTTTAGTTACATGTTATGATAGTAGTTACTATCAATAGCATGGTTGTAACGGGTAAAGGGGAATCAGGGTTCGATTCCGGAGAGGTAGTCTGAGAAACAGCTACCACATCCAAGGAAAGCAGCAGGCGCGCAACGTGGAGGTAGTGACGTAAAATGACGATACGGGAATCATTCCCCGTAATCGGAATAAATACACTATATATCTCTTAATGAGAATAAAGCGTATTAATATATAAGTTTTAATAGTAATTAAAATATATATATATATACATGTAAAGCGACTTAAGTACGTAAACGTATCATGCACGAGGTATAGCTGTGTTTTGTTGGCGGGCGGGGCGCGAGGCATATATGACGGCAACGGCGTCGGCTGTAGGGATATATAAATGAATATTAACATATACGTATATATAAATAATAATATATATATGTATATATATATTAATATTAGCGGCGATGGTAAGAATATATAATCTTCGCATAATATCTCGGCACTTTCGCTGGCGTCGACGACGCGATGTCCGGCGTGATCCTCGGGCGTCAAAAGGTTAGCAGCGTAGATGACGACGGTGCGCGAGTGCGGATCGGTTTGTTGACGTTGTCACTTTGACAATAAGAAGAAGACTACGGTATCATTAGCGGCGGGACGTCGTCGGTCGTGCGGCACTTGCTGGACTTTGCACCGCGGAGTATAACGCGAGATGTTGGTCAGTCAAATACTCATAATAGGGCGACGGCTGATAAAGATGGCATGAGTTGGGGGGCATCGTGTATAATGAAGCGACGCGGGTCTGTGTCAGTCACAATAAAAATTTGTTATATATATATATATATATATAATTCATGACACGCACGTGTATACGGGTGCGAAAACCAAAAATAAAATTATACAGAAAAATAGTGTAGTCGCCGACTGGAGAGCGGGGGTGGGGTGAATGCGTTACGACGGTCTAGTCTCAAGGTCATAGACGACGGGATACGCGACATAATAACACGTGCCGCGTGGAGTTACAAACTTACAACATACAACAAACAAACAACATACACGTGAAACTAATATAAGCGTGTTAAAAATATGTTTTAGTTATAATCATTTATTTCAAATTTTTTTATTATAATTATTGTTACATTATTATTATATATTTATTATTGTTACACAATACAGCTCAAAAAAAATTATAGTTATTTTATTTTTTGTATTCATCTTATAAAATAATATAGTACACATAATTTTATTATTACATTATAATATTGATAATATTTAAACTGAAAAATAATTATGTTTTCATTTATAAGATAATTGTTTAAAAAATTATAAACTATGAATAATATTTTAGAGGTTTGAAGAAACAATTATGGTATAAAATTTTGTATTTTACTTACTTTTTCGTTATTTTCGTAGACATTAGGTTTTATTTTATACTCTTTATTTATGTTCGTAACGAGAATGTCTATAAATTCAATTAGTTGCTTATTTGTGAGTTCATATTCTGTTGGAGGAAAATATTTTTTGTCTATTAAGTCTTTACTTATTACAGATTTGAACATTTTCCAACCGTCTAGGAAATCGAACATTTTTTGGGCTTTAAAACAATCAATTATTATATGTATAATTTGATCTAAAACATCGCATACGAATTTGGAATCTGGAAAAAAATATGGTTCTTTAGGATATTTTTTGTAATTTTTGAAATTTTCTAAACTGTTTCTGATGTTTTCTAGGATTTTACTTTCTAATTGGTTAAGCTTAAAAAAATTACACATAGTATATATTGTGGTACTAAATTTTACAATAAGTTTATCATCTCTCATACGTTCAAATGTCATTTTAGTATAATAGGTTAATACATATATATATTTTAATGATCGGATCGCCATGACCATATTGTAGTAAGGGTAGAGCACTTCTAAATTTTCTCTTCCACAAATATTTATTATTAATTCTTTAAACATCAAAAACGTCTGTTGATATGTAAATTCGTTTCCATCTATGTCATTTTCGCGTATTGTTATTAATTCATCATCCAAATATTGTATGTTTTCAACTTCATATAATTGAATTTGACCAATGTAAAAATTTAGTATAAATATTGATGACAAAAATAAAGTTGAAATTTTTAACATTATATAACTTTATGCTTCACAATTTAAATGTTTTTGATCACTTTGATTATATAAAAATTTCGTAAAAAAAAGTTGAATATAATATTTTTAAGTATTTTTTGTAATGACGCATGTACCTAATATAGTTGTATTTACTTAACTTATTGAATGTGTCAGTATGTGCTTAGCGATGATAATGGTAACATTGTTTCCAAAATACGTATCCGCGATTTTTCAGTAATTTTTTATAGCTTTTGAATTTAATATATTTTAGTTAATTTTTTTTTTAATAATATTATTAATATTGTCGGATAATTGAAATATCATTGAAATCACATTGAAAATATTGGAAGTTCCCCCCCCTCTCTCACTATTTGAAAACCAACAGTTAGTCGTGTATGTCCTTTGTGGCGGATTCTGTTGATTTTTTTAAATTACTATGTAACGGTCACATATTCAAAAGTGAACCGTTTATAATTTTTGTTATGTCTACTTATTTATTTTATCGCGTAAGAATGCGCGAATGAACCTTTTTCTGACACAGCGGTGTCAACAACTCATTATTTTTACAGCTGACCGCTAGATAAGGCAAAAAAAGAGAATAAATATAATTAAAATCAAATTTTTATATCGGTATTGATCCCTCCCAAAAACCGATTTCTTTCAACGATACGTCAAAAGATCACAAATCGTATCTAGTCGAAGACATTACCCTAAAAAACGTATTAAATGTCAATGAAAAATTTGAAATCGTCGTTCTTGACTTATTAAATGCGCGTGTCGATAATAAAAAATACGCGACATGTGAACGATATATACGATATTTGTTACAAGAGCGGTTTTTGTGTACCGCATCGATTAATACGATTAATTAAAGCCGTTAAATGAAACTATTCGATTCACGATCTAATTAAACTTTATATACTATTGTCAATATTATTGTTACACTTACAATTCATATCGGCAATAATTATTCATTATTTTATTAGCTTCGTTGCGCGTTAAATTAATAAAGTAAAATTTATCGTTATTAAAAAGTAATATAATATTATATAATACATGATAATATAATATTGTTAAAAATCATATATTTTTTTTTTTTAAATCTATTTAAATTAATAAACATAAATGAACAATTTAAAACGTCATACGGGACCAATGTAAATTTTGACATTTTCGGTGTTTCGAATACGTTTAAAATACTGTTTTAAACGAGTAGTGTTTTGAAACGTAACAATCCAGATATTAATTAAAAATAAATATCCACTATTGAAAGGTTACGAATTTAATAATTCGATTTTTTAAAATTATAATCCAATTATTTGTGGCCACGACAGACAACTTTTGTATCATTTATAAACTTTCTGAAAATAATAAAAACGAGGGTTGCCAACTTACTGAGCGAGACACGCGATATGCTGTCGGACCACAGTAGGATTGAAAAAATAGAAAATAAATCATTGAAGTTAACTTAATACTTTTTGAATAAATAACTAATACTAATACTTAATAATAAGAGTAAAAAAAAATAGGTAGTTTGATATTACGGTCATAATCGAATCGGCCGCTACTAGCCGTTAAAAAACTACAAAGAAAATGTTTTTATAACCGACTGTGTCGTATAGATGTTAATTAAATACCTAGATAACTGTAGACTGATAAGATTAATTAACGTCGTCTACGACTCGGTGGATGGATGCACGTCAAGACCTTGTGAAAACCTTTTTGCGTGACCGCAATTGGAGGAGATGACCTCGTACGAGACTGTCGCCCGTACCTTATGAACTAGGACGAGATGATTTTCGAAGGAAAGGGTTATACTGAGTCCGTCGAAGAAAAAGACGGTTTGCGGTCAAAATCGACCACAAACTTGATTAGATTGGATTTGTCGACTGACGATCTGATCTCCGGTGCAGTGTTCTCTTAAAGGGGCTATTGGTAAAATTCCAATTAGTACGGGGGGAGGCGACTCGTTTATTACGAATACACGAATAAAACACATTTATTTAAACGCAAATGACTAAAGTGTTATATTGTCTTTCATTTTTTTTTTTTGATTAACACGTGTTAATTACACCGGTACGTTGGAATTATAATTTTCTCGGTCGTATTTTCACGAAACATCCGTTTTGGAACGTCGTCGGCAGTGTGTGCTTGAACTCGAGGTGATCTACGGTGGGATATTTTTCCGAAGCAAGAATTCGGTTTCTTCTCACTACGGTGGACACGGTGGTCTTCAACTGCAACATGGCGCTGTTGTGAGCGATACAACTCCGGAGACCGCCGCTGAACGGCATGAACGCGTACGGATGCCTGTCGTCGCACCGTTCCGGGGAAAAGTTGTCGGGGTCGAATTTTTCCGGGTCCCTGTAGTGCAGAGGACTCTTGTGTAAATCTCTGATGCTAAAAAAAGCGGTAGCGCCTGCAAAAAGTCACGTTGTTGTGAACACTTGATATTCAAAGTTTCGAAAATAGCGAAACTCGGAGAGCTCATGTTATTACCGGCCGGCAAAAGTTTTCCGTCTATAAGTATATCCTCTTCGACCCGTCTTGTAATCACGGCGATAGGCGTATGCAACCGCAACGTTTCGTTGATGACTCGCTCGAGATATTCCATTTTCGTCAAGTCTTCGTACGACGGCCGTCTGTGAGGATCGCCCGTTGAGAATATTGCTGTTTGTTCGTCGAATACCTTTTGAAAATAATACGTTAATCAAATTAAACAAACGTGCTTGGGTTAGGTTAAAATGATAATTAAAAACCGACTTTGTTTTGGACGTCTTGGTGATGAGATAAACGAAATAATACGCAACTGTTGGTAAAAGCTGAGGTATCCCTGCCAGCTGTAAAATGTCAAAAACTCACATTGAATTAGACAAAACGTACGGATATATAGGGTAGTTTGTACAAAGGGATGTTATCCTGTGTAAAATGTATATACGGGACGATTGATTTATCGTTGATTGGTAAATTTATTCTAAAATAATGTTACGTCGTTTCTTTTGAACAGTATAAATTTCGCAATTTTTAATCGATTCAATATCTCTTTTTCTTCAGATGTCAGAAACGTTTACGTAAAACATAAATGGCGGTCAACGATAAATCGTCGTGCGTATAAAAATGTTAATTTCGAATTCGTTATGTTATCGCAGGGAATGTATACTTTGTTGAAATAATAGTGTATTTGTTGAAACGTATTGAACTATCGGTCGTTAGTTTAAATATTTAATATTAAATACTGCACGATTGTTTTGTCGCGCAACACGTGTCGAGTTCGTTTTTTACCCATTAACAAGAAAACGGCTTCGCGCCTTATATCGTCGAGCGTCATGTCACTTCGGTTGGCCAACAACGTTTCGACCATTGTCGCAGGTTTCACACTGTAATTGTCTTTTTCATCGTTTTCCACTTCACCGTCATTTGTGTTTCGTCTCCATTTTGCGTTTATAGTTTTGATTAGAGAATCGGCGTGTGCGTGAATCATTTTTCTGGCGTTTTTTTCGATTTTGTTCAACGCTGACAAACGGAAAATGGTATTGCTCATATACCACGGATTGAAAACCCTGTACGCCATGATCTGAAAAAAAACAAACAAACATATTATATTTCTTAATTGCTGCAACCATAAAACCGTGTTCGTGTTGAATTTCATACGGGTAAAAAATTTAAAGGTACATGTAGTATTTATATACTGTATAATTTTTCCAGTTTATCAATTAAATCGTCATCTCGACACGAACGCATTACACGTATCTCAGTGTATTGTCGTGATGTGCTTAATACTAGTAATGGTAACAATTCATACTAGTAATGGTGGTTAAAATAATTAGTTTGGCAATGATGAATCAGCTTCACCAGATGAAGACTTCGAAATTCAAATTATCAGTAAAAACTAAGGGATCAAATACTCATATAATACCAGTACTTACGAAGAAAAACAAATAAAAGAAATCTATTTGTGTTTGCAAAATTTTTTTGATTTTGACATTTATGATTTCAAAAGAAACATACAACTACACAAACTAAAAATGTGAAGTCCAAAAATAAAGAAAAATCATAGATTTCCAATTTGAATAGCATTTCTATAATTATCATAAACAGAACCAAAGCGCAATACCTTATAATTACAAAAGCAAAAAATTCTAGAAGAACAAAAAAAACTTTGAACTTATTATTTTTAATGACTATTACTACGTATAGAGAGAACAGGACGATGATTTTTTAGACAGCATCACACATGTTTTTTTCACAATGTTTCGAATAAGTTCTATCACATTATTTTTACATGCATTTATTTAAACAAAAATTTTACATTGTCTTATCTTTTAATATTATATTTGGCACCATACAAACATATACACTATCATACTATTATTTTTTATGTATTCTATAATTTTTTAATCCATCTTTCAAATGTACTTGCTCATACTATTAACTTTTAACTAATATTTAATATTCACATTAATAATTTTTAATCATTATATATCATAAATACTAAAATTATTAATCAACTACTGTTGTACTATATTATTATTCAAATATTCTATTATTTTCATTTGTACTACTGTTGTACATTTTATCATTAATTATAACTTTATATTATCTTATGTTTTTTTTAAACTATTTTATTGATAATTTAATATTATTGTACTACTATTACATAATTGATATTCAATATTTAACTATATTCTTTTAATCACATTATATTGTAAAAACATTAATAACTATTTTATGTCATAAAAATATTATTTTCATATCTATGTAAAAAAGTTGTGAGGACACAACACTTTCAAAACTAGGGTGGATGTCGTGATATGCTTAATACTTTGCATTACGCATCTCACAATTATCAATGAAAAATTATAATCTGTATTTTCAATAACTTGTAAACAAACAAATAATTTATCTGTCATAACAAATACAATGTTCAACACAATTTCTTATTATATACATATATGTCAACTCATCTATTGTTAACTATGCTATCAATATAATTACCATGTAATGTATACTTTAAAACAATAAAATATAATCATAAATAACACAAACGGCAATATCCCTGGATATGGGGGTACCTCTTCAGTACTATAAAAAGCACTGATATCCATTGAAAGACAGAGCCACGGCTACGGCTAAGGCCAGAGCCACGGCCAGAGAGAGAGCTACTGCCAGAGCCATAGCTCCAGTAAGCTAGTTCTTTCCTGCGAACTACTCTTGCTATTACATTTTGATCACGGCCCCGTGCTGCCGTTTGAGTTATTTTATTTTGTTTACTTTATTTGTGTTTAAAACTTATTTTGATCTACAAAGATATTATTACCATAAATAAATAATATTGAATAAAAATTGGCATTTCTGGTTAATACTTCATTTATCTTTTTGGACATCATAAAATACGAAGGTAAGTCAATTTATATTATCCCATATATTTAAAGTTAATAATCTGAGTAAAGAACGATAAAGCAATAGATCTATAATCTCCTTTTAACATCAAGAGCTATTTTGACAGTTTGTTCACACCTGTTACNTACCACGGATTGAAAACCCTGTACGCCATGATCTGAAAAAAAACAAACAAACATATTATATTTCTTAATTGCTGCAACCATAAAACCGTGTTCGTGTTGAATTTCATACGGGTAAAAAATTTAAAGGTACATGTAGTATTTATATACTGTATAATTTTTCCAGTTTATCAATTAAATCGTCATCTCGACACGAACGCATTACACGTATCTCAGTGTATTGTCGTGATGTGCTTAATACTAGTAATGGTAACAATTCATACTAGTAATGGTGGTTAAAATAATTAGTTTGGCAATGATGAATCAGCTTCACCAGATGAAGACTTCGAAATTCAAATTATCAGTAAAAACTAAGGGATCAAATACTCATATAATACCAGTACTTACGAAGAAAAACAAATAAAAGAAATCTATTTGTGTTTGCAAAATTTTTTTGATTTTGACATTTATGATTTCAAAAGAAACATACAACTACACAAACTAAAAATGTGAAGTCCAAAAATAAAGAAAAATCATAGATTTCCAATTTGAATAGCATTTCTATAATTATCATAAACAGAACCAAAGCGCAATACCTTATAATTACAAAAGCAAAAAATTCTAGAAGAACAAAAAAAACTTTGAACTTATTATTTTTAATGACTATTACTACGTATAGAGAGAACAGGACGATGATTTTTTAGACAGCATCACACATGTTTTTTTCACAATGTTTCGAATAAGTTCTATCACATTATTTTTACATGCATTTATTTAAACAAAAATTTTACATTGTCTTATCTTTTAATATTATATTTGGCACCATACAAACATATACACTATCATACTATTATTTTTTAATGTATCTATCTTTCAAATGTACTTGCTCATACTATTAACTTTTAACTAATATTTAATATTCACATTAATAATTTTTAATCATTATATATCATAAATACTAAATTTATTAATCAACTACTGTTGTACTATATTATTATTCAAATATTCTATTATTTTCATTTGTACTACTGTTGTACATTTTATCATTAATTATAACTTTATATTATCTTATGTTTTTTTTAAACTATTTTATTGATAATTTAATATTATTGTACTACTATTACATAATTGATATTCAATATTTAACTATATTCTTTTAATCACATTATATTGTAAAAACATTAATAACTATTTTATGTCATAAAAATATTATTTTCATATCTATGTAAAAAAGTTGTGAGGACACAACACTTTCAAAACTAGGGTGGATGTCGTGATATGCTTAATACTTTGCATTACGCATCTCACAATTATCAATGAAGAAAGTATAATCTATATTTTAAATAACTTGTAAACAAACAAATAATTTATCTGTCATAACAAATACAATGTTCAACACAATTTCTTATTATATACATATATGTCAACTCATCTATTGTTAACTATGCTATCAATATAATTATCATGTAATGTATACTTTAAAACAATAAAATATAATCATGAATAACACAAACGGCAATATCCCTGGATATGGGGTACCTCTTCAGTACTATAAAAAGCACTGATATCCATTGAAAAGAGAGAGCTACTGCCAGAGCCACAGCTTCAGTAAGCTAGTTCTTTCCTGCGAACTACTCTTGCTATTACATTTTGATCACGGCCCCGTGCTGCCGTTTGAGTTATTTTATTTTGTTTACTTTATTTGTGTTATTAAAACTTATTTTGATCTACAAAGATATTATTACCATAAATAAATAATATTGAGTAAAAATTGGCATTTCTGGTTAATACTTCATTTATCTTCTTGGACATCATANAAATATACTAAAGTTTCTGCACATTTTTTTGTTTCTTTATACCTTTTGCACTTTAAGCTACAACCCAGAGTCATGCGATGTGTTGCACCTATTAAAGTTTTTTTTTAATTCGTTATCAACGCTTTGTCAAAATACTTTTGAGCGCTACTGTATACACATTACAGGGTCTCGAGGGTCGGATTACCGCCCCGTGCCTAAAAAGAGTTTAAAAACCTAATGTGTATCTGATTATATTAATAGACACTTCGACTGGGTGTTCGAGGGTCGGATTACCGCCCCGTTACCTCAGTGTCCTATTAAAGGTGTTTACAACTTTATTAGCTCATATTCCTCAAGTAAGAGGTCATGCTTTTATTTCTTCATATCTACTTGTCTTTATTGTTCTAAACCCTCGAACCATACGACCCCGATAGAACCACAACATCAGGTTCACACTTCATACAAAAACCCAAGTCCCCATCTTATAATTCACTTTTATTTTTATTTTATTAATTTTTGTTATTTGAATTATAACAGTATTAATTATGTAATTGGAGAAACACCCGACATTTTCGGTGTAAAAAATGCACGGCCGGCGTACCACAAATCCCCACGGCCGCTTACCATTCAATTTAAATTACCTGTACCGACGTTCCGATGGACTCGATCATTTGGCGTTCGCTTTCGTCTTTGCGTCTGTTGTCCGCGCCGAACACGGACGTCAGCATATTGTCCATAGTCATGTTAAAAAACGGAGCGCTCACTTCGCATTCGTCCGACTCAGGGTGTCGATCCCGTACGAATTTTTCGCACACGACATTGGCCTGTTCGGCCGCAATTTCTATGTACGTCTTCAGGTGGGCACGAGAAAAACATTTGGTCACTTCTTTTCTAAAAACACAATCGTGTCCGATAAAAAACGTGTTGTATTGCAATTTATCGTTTTTATTCTTGGAGTATCGTTAACGTGGAACAATTATGATAACAATATGATTCTAATGGTTTCAATAGTTCTTATGATTCTAATGATTCTAATAGTTCTTATGATTCTAATCGATAAAAATAAATTAACCCAGAGGGTAATAATATTAAATATGAAACGGACTAGGACGACGAGTTGTTGAATTTGTCAATTTGTCGGAACTCGTTAGTCGATAAAACTGTTAAATCGTAATATCGTATTACAAGTAATAACGCGATAAGTAATAATTGTTGTTTAACGCTATATGGGATATCGTAATTTTTACAATTTATAATTTAGTTTTCAGCTCAGAGAAAAAGTGGCGACGGATACAACCCACACATCGCAGTAAAATCAATACCTTCAACAGTACGCGTTTTATAAGATACGATTGATCGAAATCAATAGATGACTCTAAAAAGAAATACCTGTGATTTTTCCACGTGACCAAATCGTTGTTGACGCCCAAACTTTTGCTGACAAAAGAATCTCGAGCAGATGAGTATAGAATACCTTTTTTCAACGCCTTGTTATGATTCAGTAATACTTTGATGTGTTCCGGCCTCGTTACGAACACGCACAAGTACGGACCCAACCACAACTTGAACGGTCCCATTTCATATCTATTCGGAAAAAAATTAAATACATTTAAATAGTTAATTGTTAAACAATCGTGTTAAATAATGCGCTAACAACGATATATTGCAATCTCAAGGAAAACGACAGAACTAGGCAAAGTATTTCGTACAATTACCACTTATTGTTGATGTTTAATTTACTTATTAATAGAGCTCGGATGTTTATGACTTTGCATATTTTTTTCGCGCAATATGAATTAAACCCAAGTATGATATAAATTTGATTCATGAAGTCTAGATTACAATTACGTAAACTTATTTTGCATATTTTACGTTTTTGAGCATATAAAAGCATATATTTATTTTTTTCTAGAAATAGTAGCATATATTTTATAATTTGCATTAAAAATATTAAAAATTTGTTTTTGATGAAGATCCGTAGAATACTATGTACAAAAGTAAAATTACTTTTGGGATTTAAATATTTATAAATTCGATAATCGATATTAATATATATATACAGTAAAACGCCGGATTAACCGGACGCCAATTATCCGGAACGCTGTCTAGACACGTGCGAGCTTCATTTTTCTAAGAATTAGGTTATTTTTATTAAATTTCTTTATTGTTATTAAATCCTTCATTTTATATCATCTGTACGTGTTTTCCTCTATAAAATATGTAAGCACATGATTGGTTAACCGGAATACCGATGGTCCCAATTAGTCCAGTTAATCGGCGTTTTACTGTATATATATATTTTTATACGAGTAGTAAATACGGCGGGTGCCATGGGTTTTACCTATATATCGTGAATTTATGAGATAGGACGCGTTTTATTTGATATATATAAAATATTTTGTTGACATTTTAATATTCATTGTGTAGTGTTACAAGTTTAGTTTATTTGGTACTTTTCGTATGTAGGTGTTACGCTGTGTTTAAACAATTTATCTAAAAATTCACGTTTTTTTAAAATGTATATTACCAAAATGCCGAAAAATTCGCTCAGTGGTTTTGTAAAAGAGTTTGATTGAGTATAATTTATAATTTTTTTTTTCATATTAAATATGTGTGTTATGTAATAAAATAATTTTAATTAATTTACATTAAGAAGGTATAAAAATTTTTTTCGAATTAATATTAACTTCTTTTTTTTTTGCATATAGTTATTGAAAAATTGGTATATTTAATATATTTCAAGGCATATAATTGCATATTTTTACATTTTTAAATGCATATTTTCATTAAATTTTGGTCATAAACATCCGAGCTCTACTTATTGATAACCCAGCGCGGTGAGGACGTGGCGTAATCGGGACGAGTGCAGATGGATACGCGATAGCAAAAAAAAATGTCACTCATGTCTCTCTGAATTCCAAAATCGAAGATGGTTTTTCCGACCGGATTCGTCGAAATCGGCTTCTTTCCGAGTGTTATTTTTTTAATGAAATCGTTCCGGTGAGAGCCAAAGATTTTTGCGCGTAGTCGTCGAATAAAAAAAAACCAACCCCACGCCATGACGGGGGTTGGGTCGGTCTACCTTCACGGTTTCGCATCGACGCTGTAAAAATAGTAACGAATACAAAATTTAGCTACCGATAGAGTGTTTACTTAAGCGCGTAGCCGTTAATAATGTTAGAAATGCGGCAGTTATTAACAGCTATTGATGACCGCCGCTATTCTAATATTTTCGTATAACATAACTACTGTAGTTATGTTGTACGAAAACGATGTACACGACGACGATAAATAAAAAAATCGTAGCGCCACAAATGGAGAATGACGGAATAATGTATTTAATAACACACGTCTCTTGGGTGCTTCCGTCAAAAATAATTCGTTAGAGTAATTTAAACGGATGTACTTTAAACCTCAAAATATAACTATAGGGATTCCGTCGCGTTATTTTCAACGATAATCGAGTAGTCTATGCGTTTAGTTGGGTTAATCCGGTCCATGCGGCTGGCCCGGACTGTATGGCTACATGGACTATATATGGGTCCGGATGTATAGACCGTACTGTACTTGACCGCGCCTGCAGATTTCGCGAGAGACAGTGAATCGATCGCCGCTTTATATATTGTGTATTGGTGCGGAAAAAAATTCAAAAAAAATTTCTAATTACGCGCGTGTACTATGACTCACTTTCTATATATTTTCGTTAAGCAATTCAAACATTGTTGCGGTCCTTTCGTCAGTATCGGTAGTTGGCCGATTAAAAACCAACCGCTCGGGCCTGGTATGTCAGCGGCTAGTATAGCGTGCCGTAAATACGCGTTCAACTTGGAAAATGACGACAATAATAGTATCGCCAAGAGAGCCACGACGATTGCAGTGTAAAATAAAATCGAATTTGTTGCTGTCATTTTGTGTCGAGTCGTGTCTGTGTTTTGCTCGTTCTGAAACTGAAATTCATAAGGACATTAAGGTTTAATGACTAACTAACTCCATACTCTACAATCCGACTTTTTCGCTTTTATATTTTTCCGAGTAGTTTTTAATTTACATTAATCGTCGTACGGTTTCACACGGATTCCGCAATATTAATAATTAATTTCATTATTTTGTAATAAAATAAAATAATAATATAATATAAAATAAATATTTATTTATATTTATATATGTATAAATTAATTTTTTTAAAAAACGCGTACATAACACTTTTTCGCACATTACAATAACGTCGAACTCGTGTGAATTTTATTCGATCATCGGGTGGTATTCACATTGTTTCGTCAATTATTTGCATTGCTTTTTTTTTTCAATTACTTTTTACTGTAATAGACAAAAATAAAAGAGACCGAAGAAGACGATTATTTTATAAGGCGGCTGGGGATCTTGGGGTTTTGATNGAAGACGATTATTTTATAAGGCGGCTGGGGATCTTGGGGTTTTGATAAGTGCAGAACGACCCGTCATTCGTCGAGAATCAGTGAACGGGTCAACGACAATATCCCTTATGCTAACAAACTGAGAACAAAAAAAAAGTTACACTTCTTTTTGTTCTCCGTTTGTCACGTGAAATTTCAAGTAGACCTGGCAATTAAAAAATATTTGCTCTTACCTTTATTTCTCTTTTCGTAGACACTCGAGTCGGTTTTACGCGTTATCTTCGCGGCTTCGTGATTGTCCGTGGGACATAGTGTCGTATTCTCCATTAATATACACCTTAGGTGTACGATATATATATATATTATTATTTTATTTTAATATAATATATATTCCAACGAATAAAATGATTAATGTAAATTAAAAACTACTTATAAATGTATGTATATAAAATTAAATATGTTAAATTTCGAATAGTCATTATGTGCTTATTATTTTTTTATTATTTCCATTGTATTAGTGTGCGTCATTTACGTTTTGCTCGCTTACGAAATACTCTTTACACCGATACCCCGTCTATTGTAATCGATAGTGTTTTTTTATATTTTTTCGCATTGTATAGTTTTTTACTATCGTGATGTTTTCCAGGAATTCCCTTCGGCCCGTGTAGATATTGTCGAAACTCGCCGTGAACTCTTTGAAATAAAATCATAACAACAAGATACATTCGGTATATCATATAAATATAAATAACATATTTCGGATGTAGTCTCAGATTGTTGATGTTCAACCATCGATGCTGGCGGCCCGGCGTTTCCTGCGCAAAGCCTCGACCGGCTAGGACACCTTATCGCGATACACACATTATTGCTTCTGCTTATGCGTTATCAGAAAGTTTGAGTAACTTATTGATTTTGGGTATCGCTATTGTTTTTATGTACTCTCTCTATATATTTATCTATCAATATATATCTATTTTTTTATTATTTTACTTTTTTCTCAATGATCTCTACCCGCAATACTAGTTCTAGTGCTGTTTACGTCGACGGTAATGCAGCACACTGCAAAGTATGTTCTAATCGCAATGCATTTTTGCGCCTTTGTATTGCGCCCTACTCTACCAATCCGACTGCCGCTCATGCGCTGCCGACCGCCGATAGGCCGTAGCCTTTCGGGTAAACGCCCGGCGTACAGTGCTACCGCCGCTGTAACATATGGTCGATTCCAATCGCAGTATTGCTATTTTTCAATCTGTTCAAAATCGTCAGATGAAAATTAAATGTATTTTATGAGAATACATAAAATGATGACGGTTCATCATTTTATGTTTGTCACATTCGATAAGGTTGTTCGCGAACCAAGGCCAAATTAACTGTTAAAACTTGGTTACTATAAAACTCATAGTACCCACTTGTATTTAACGGTCATAATTAACAGTGATATTTAATATAGTCGGGACCGGTGTAGATTTAAAAATGCCCAACCGACAGTGATTGAAATCTCCATCATTAAAAAGGCTTCTATGCAATTCTGTAGATAGTGTTTGATTTAAAAAAAAAAATGGTGCATTATTCTAAAAGCAACACGATCTCTTATTATCCAAATTTATATCCCGATTACAAGTTTTACGATTTATAAGTATATGAATACGAAGTATATAATAACATGTAATATATACAAATGAATATTTATTATAGCGATTATATGTATTATGAAATCAATTTTTTTTTTTTTTTTTTAATTACAACAATAATGTCATAATAATCTAGATAAATATGGAGAAGCTATATAATACTAATTATAATATACATAGACCTAGTTCACTCATTAAATCATTATGAATACATTTTTTGAAGCTAATTGTGTTATTAAATATACTTTTTTTCAGTTTAACTGGCAAAGAAATAATGACAGTTTTCAAAATAATAAATATAAAAAATATTTAATTATATAGTATTCTAATTTTTACAGAGCAATTGTAATTGTTATTTTTACACATATAAATTTACCGGTCCTACGAGTAATTTTCATCCGAGACAAAAATATACTTTTCTAAAAACTCGTTTTCGTGCCCATTCCTTCATATGTACAATTGGAGTTTCGCATAAATCACAACAACAAAATCCTTCTAATCAACGTGTTTTCCTGTTTTCATCTTAAAATAAACTATAATAGCTTTAGTTGATGTATGTTTAAAGTTACCAGATTTATTGAACATAATAAAAATTTAAAGAAAATATACCAATAAGAAATACTGTGTAACTATAATACTTTTTAATACCATACTATTTTTTTTAATTAAGAAAGTTTTTCAAAGGAAATATCATATTATGTAAAATCAAATATTTTAAAATCATTTTAATGATTTTGAACATAAAAAATTTAATTTGGTTTGGAAAAAATATTATATTTATTTTTATTTCTAAATTGTTCTTCTTGTTGTACTTTTCACATTATCTCTAAAAATTTTTCTTTACTTTCTAAAAATTGATCTGTGTTAGTCAGATTTTATTTCTATCTTTTAGCTTCGATGCGAAGCTGAAAAAGTATTAGTTTTACTATGTGTTTTTTTTTTAGTGTCTGTTATCCCTTTTTCTCAGCTCTCACCGAACCGATTTCTTTCAACGACACGTCAAAAAATCACAAATCGTATCTAGTCAAAGACATTACCCTTAAAAATTGAAAAAACTTTCCTTGCAAATTTAAAAATTGCTAATTTTCGAAATTTTTTCAATTTTTTTACTTAAAACTGCCANCAAATATTTTAAAATCATTTCAATGAATTTGAACATAAAAAATTTAATTTGGTTTGGAAAAAATATTATATTTATTTTTATTTCTAAATTGTTCTTCTTGTTGTACTTTTCACATTATCTCTAAAAATTTTTAAAAAAAAAAATTTTGGACTTTATTTTTTTTTATGGTGAACACGGAAATTAAAACTAATAAAAAAATTCTTTTTTATATTTTTAATTTTATAACGCTATAACTTTTTGAAAAATATACTTATACTTGACCCAACTATGCCACGTCCCCACAGTGATACGACCCTACTGTGCTGGGTTTTTTTTATTTCTACTTAATCATAATTATTCTATCAATTTTTTTCTTTCCAAAGTTCAAATATTATTATTTAAGTAATTTATTTAGAAATCATTATTTATAATAGTCGATCTGTGGTATGTGTAAAAATAATAAAATAAGTTACGATATTTTAATATGCTCATTTTAAATTATTTTTTAATGAATTGTTGTAAAGTTCATATTTTTTTTATTTTTTTTTAATACAAATTAGTCATATGTATATTATTACACATGTATATTAAATGTAAAAATAGTTATTTTGTAATTGATTATTTTAAGTGAATATTGACAAAAAATTGTGAAAACAATCTAATATAGATTAAAATCCTGATTATTTAAAAAAAAAAATTTTAAGTATGAATAATCTTAGACGTTAGAAAAATTAAATAGTTAAATACAAATTTTGTATTGCTTCATTTGTTACCTAAATTTAATTTTAAATATTTTTTATGAAATTTAGAAGAATGTCCTATTTGCTTCTATAATAATGCAACAGTTACTATGAAAACTTATGGTCATAATGATTGCAGTATTTGCTCTATACAGTTAAACAATTTAAATGAAGACTTAAAATGTCCATTATGCAGACGACCTGTTTATGTTGATGGCCTAGATATTTAAATTATTCATAANATGGTGAACACGGAAATTAAAACTAATAAAAAAATTCTTTTTTATATTTTTAATTTTATAACGCTATAACTTTTTGAAAAATATACTTATACTTGACCCAACTATGCCACGTCCCCACAGTGATACGACCCTACTGTGCTGGGTTTTTTTTATTTCTACTTAATCATAATTATTCTATCAATTTTTTTCTTTCCAAAGTTCAAATATTATTATTTAAGTAATTTATTTAGAAATCATTATTTATAATAGTCGATCTGTGGTATGTGTAAAAATAATAAAATAAGTTACGATATTTTAATATGCTCATTTTAAATTATTTTTTAATGAATTGTTGTAAAGTTCATATTTTTTTATTTTTTTTTAATACAAATTAGTCATATGTATATTATTACACATGCATATTAAATGTAAAAATAGTTATTTTGTAATTGATTATTTTAAGTGAATATTAACAAAAAATTGTGAAAACAATCTAATATAGATTAAAATCCTGATTATTTAAAAAAAAAATTTTAAGTATGAATAATCTTAGACGTTAGAAAAATTAAACAGTTAAATACAAATTTTGTATTCCTTCATTTGTTACCTAAATTTAATTTTAAATATTTTTTATGAAATTTAGAAGAATGTCCTATTTGCTTCTATAATAATGCAACAGTTACTATGAAAACTTATGGTCATAATGATTGCAGTATTTGCTCTATACAGTTAAACAATTTAAATGAAGACTTAAAATGTCCATTATGCAGACGACCTGTTTATGTTGATGGCCTAGATATTTAAATTATTCATAATAAATTCATTTTTTACGATATAGAAAGAAAAGTATTGATCATTTATATAAGTTTAGTGATATGTAAAATAAAACTAAAACTACTTTTAATATTAATTTTAAATTTTTATGGGACATATTGGTTCTTAATTTTTTAAAGTGCTGTTTGTTTTTTTTAAATTTATATTTGTAGGAACCTACGAAAATGAACTATCAAGAATCCGAATAGGTTAGTCAATTAAATGTCATACTGTTTGTGTTGAAGAATTAATTTCACAATATAATTATCTTCTTCCTTGGCAAAAATATGATCAACAAATGTGACTTGATATTTTTCGCATTGGCGATGTGTATCCCATTGAAAAAATTAAAGAAATACGCAAACATTAGAAAATGAAGTAATAATTTTTTCACAAGATTTATTATTGTGGCGTCATTTTTGTTTAAGAAATTGTACCGATGATGAAGATAATATATAAAAATTTTTTTTTTTAGACAAAATTTCATATTAAATTTATCAGAATCCGATTAGTTTAAAACTAATAAACAATTTAAGAATTCATTGAATCTAGTATTTTTAGGTATTTACAATATAGTATATTATTTTGCTGAACTGTGTAGTATTATTTATTAACAACTGTATCCTATTTAATTTATATTAAATCATTCTAAAATTTTTAATTTAAAAAAATGTCTTTTCCAAATTTATTTTTCATAGAATATATGAAAACCTTTGGTTCACTAGTGCTACAATCTATTTTTTTAATTTTTAATTTNTTAAAATGTCCATTATGCAGACGACCTGTTTATGTTGATGGCCTAGATATTTAAATTATTCATAATAAATTCATTTTTTACGATATAGAAAGAAAAGTATTGATCATTTATATAAGTTTAGTGATATGTAAAATAAAACTAAAACTACTTTTAATATTAATTTTAAATTTTTATGGGACATATTGGTTCTTAATTTTTTAAAGTGCTGTTTGTTTTTTTTAAATTTATATTTGTAGGAACCTACGAAAATGAACTATCAAGAATCCGAATAGGTTAGTCAATTAAATGTCATACTGTTTGTGTTGAAGAATTAATTTCACAATATAATTATCTTCTTCCTTGGCAAAAATATGATCAACAAATGTGACTTGATATTTTTCGCATTGGCGATGTGTATCCCATTGAAAAAATTAAAGAAATACGCAAACATTAGAAAATGAAGTAATAATTTTTTCACAAGATTTGTTATTGTGGCGTCATTTTTGTTTAAGAAATTGTACCGATGATGAAGATAATATATAAAAATTTTTTTTTTAGACAAAATTTCATATTAAATTTATCAGAATCCGATTAGTTTAAAACTAATAAACAATTTAAGAATTCATTGAATCTAGTATTTTTAGGTATTTACAATATAGTATATTATTTTGCTGAACTGTGTAGTATTATTTATTAACAACTGTATCCTATTTAATTTATATTAAATCATTCTAAAATTTTTTATTTTAAAAAATGTCTTTTCCAAATTTCTTTTTCAAATAATATATGAAAACCTTTGGTTTACTAGTGCTACAATCTATTTTTTTAATTTTTAATATTTGTTATCAACAGATATTTGACTATTGAACATTAATAAGATACTTTTTAACCAAAATTTTTGTTAAAATCTACTTTATAAAATGGCTATCTTGAAATTTTTATTTAAATTTTTCGTAAATTTAAAAATTTTGTTAATAAAATTAAAAAAATATGGTTATTTGTTTAGTTCTAAAGTATTAAAATTATTTAGAAAAGAAATTAATGTGAATTATTAATTAGAACAAAAGTTATTGAATTTGTAATATCTTTGTGACTCACTCTGTATATACAGAGGTTAAAAAATTAAGGATACGGTCAATTGTTACAGACAATGAGAAAAATATAAACACGTTTTCTTACTTACTAAACCCTCTCTATATTTATAATAATAATATATATAATTGACCTGCGCCCATTCACATAAAGCACTTCAATTATTTCTTAATATTTGTCTATGCATTATGTATAATCATTAAAACAACTTTTTTTTTTTATTATTAGTAAAAGTTAAAAAAAAAATGATAAAAAAAAAAAAAATACAAAATATATTATTATTGATTAAGTTTTCAGAAAAAAATAAGTTGAAGTTAACTTTGCATCATTGTAATAAAAATGTATCTAAAACAATATTTGCTCATTTTTTTTACGGACAATACATATAAAAATGAAATCCAAATTAATTATTTATAACGACGAATCTGATTCTGCAGAAGATTCTATTTCAAAATTATACATATGTTTTCGTGTTTCAAATTGTTCATTTACGTCTAAATCATTCCTAATATAATAATTTTTTAATATCTCTTTTTCTTCATTATGTAAAATAGTTATAAAATATCGTCGTCGAAGCACCAAGTCCTCTTCAGGCCAATGTACATCAAAATTTTCTATGGCTTCACGTATTTCTAATAATTGTTCAGAAGGGTATGCATTATAAATTTGGGATATTTCTACTAACATTTTTTCGTCAGCAAATTGCCACGGTGGAAGATAGTAATAATGTGAAATCAGTTTTTCATTGGAAATTGTTTTACATATTACACCTATTTTTATTGATTCCAATTCATTTTCATAAAGCATACCTAAAAAAAAAATAAATAATTTTTATAATTATACATGAGTATAAGTGAATGAAAATACCCCATATATGTACAAGGTGAATGATCAACTAGGATTTAGGCAAAATTTTTAAATTTGTTATAACATTATAAGTTTTTCCTTTGCGATGTTAAAAGTATCCTATATTCTATAATTTTCAAAATTATAGAATCTATATAGTGGAATAGATTTAACTGATAATTCTTATAACTATTGGTATAATTAATATTGCATTGTAATTTTTCTTTAATTATTTATACATTCTTAAATTATGTATAAATTTATACATTTCATTTTTTTTTTTAAATAATAAAACTAATAAAACACTTTTTTTAGCTTCGATGCGAATTGGTTTACTATGATGTGTTTATTTTGTGTCTGTTACACTTTTTCTTAGCTCTCACCGAACCGATTTCTTTCAATGATATGTCAAAAGATCACAAATCGTATCAAAACAGACATCAAAGTTAATAAAAAAAATACGATTTTTGTAAAAAAATTATTTTTTATATTTTTAACTTTATAATGCTATAAATTTAGAAAGATGTATGGATCAATATAATTCTTTTTTTTATAGATGCATGATATCGTTACCTTTCATTTGGTATATTTTTTTTTTATAAATCTGACCCTTTACCTGCCCACAGGGGGGGATTTAAAATGAAAACTTTTTCAACTTGACTTTTGAAAATGTTCCCGAAAGTCTGACACTTTTATATATATCNTTTTCAGAAAAAAATAAGTTGAAGTTAACTTTGCATCATTGTAATAAAAATGTATCTAAAACAATATTTGCTCATTTTTTTTACGGACAATACATATAAAAATGAAATCCAAATTAATTATTTATAACGACGAATCTGATTCTGCAGAAGATTCTATTTCAAAATTATACATATGTTTTCGTGTTTCAAATTGTTCATTTACGTCTAAATCATTCCTAATATAATAATTTTTTAATATCTCTTTTTCTTCATTATGTAAAATAGTTATAAAATATCGTCGTCGAAGCACCAAGTCCTCTTCAGGCCAATGTACATCAAAATTTTCTATGGCTTCACGTATTTCTAATAATTGTTCAGAAGGGTATGCATTATAAATTTGGGATATTTCTACTAACATTTTTTCGTCAGCAAATTGCCACGGTGGAAGATAGTAATAATGTGAAATCAGTTTTTCATTGGAAATTGTTTTACATATTACACCTATTTTTATTGATTCCAATTCATTTTCATAAAGCATACCTAAAAAAAAAATAAATAATTTTTATAATTATACATGAGTATAAGTGAATGAAAATACCCCATATATGTACAAGGTGAATGATCAACTAGGATTTAGGCAAAATTTTTAAATTTGTTAAAACATTATAAGTTTTTCCTTTGCGATGTTAAAAGTATCCTGTATTCTATAATTTTCAATATATAATTCTTATTTCCTTAAAGGTTACCAATCACAACAGGCTTTTCGATTAAGACTCTTGGAATTATATTCGTGTCGATATCGAAAGAGCTTTAAAATTGTTAGGTTTTTATAAAACGTAACACAAAACTCTTTTGCTCAGTTAATTCTGTCTAACTCTTCTTTGTATTTTGTCTTCGTGAGATCATTATTTTAATATAGTTTTATTGTATGACACCCTTATCTTGCTAAGGGTCGATTTGTGCTTGAGCGTGTCCAATAAAAATTTCTGTGACAAAACTGCATTTATATTATATTTCTTTCGCGTCGATATAATTATTCCAATATTAGTCGTATACTTTACATTCATTCGCCAACATCACGAAAAAAAAATCTGACTTGCAGTTAATTAGTGCACTTAAATATAATTTTTATTAAATATCGTTTCAATGGGATTATTGAAGCGTCTAACCTCCTCTAATATCATGAACAAACTTTTTATAGTTTAAATTATTTGACTTCTTATTGTCACAATCACTCACCGTGTAAAATGTACAAGTATGCTAAGTTTTTTAATTTTTATTCATTAACAATATATTTTACTAGATCTATAGTAAAAACAACATATAATCAAAAACACTTTGGTCAAATACAATAATTTATTCTTTCAATAAACCACTGATAAAAGTATAACAAAATGAACCTAATACCTCACAACTTCAAACATTTTTTATTTCTGAAAAATTGACATTTTGGAATTAGAACTTTTAAGAATTAGATTGCCGTCATGTTCATTATTTATTTATTTACTACATATTAGTTATATTATACACACATATTAAATTTATATTGTTTCGCTATGTTGTTTTAGTTTATTTTATTAATGCAATTATTGCTACTGTCATTGTTAATTTTTATTAGTAATGATTCATTTGTATAGTATCCAACACTATTATATTAGTTTATTATAGAATAGCTATTTATCGTTTATATTATTATCATTATTATTATTTTTTATTTAATATCATACAATTTGTAATAAATTTAATTACAATATGCACAAATGATGGTCATATTAAACAAATATAAAAAATAATATTTAGAGACAGTAAGCTTGATAGAAGAGGCCAACCAGTGCTGGTACTTCATGACGTGTTAAAATGTGAATAAGTCAATAAATAGGTCGCAACACCACACTCGCTATCCGTTCACTCTATCACTGGTGACCTCAACAGAGATAGAGTGGACGGATAGATAAAAGATCAGAGGGTATTGTTGGTTTAAAATTTTGGAGTGTAAACCCAGTTTGTTGGACCTTTGGGATGGAGAGATTATTATGGAGGGTATCATTGAAGACGTAAAATGGACCTATTGTTATTTGGCGGAGACATTTGTTTCGGGAGGTTTGTGTTTTATGGATGTTGGATGATTTGGTGGGTCTCCAAAGCTGGATGTTATATGTCCAAATTGGTTTGAGAAGTAGTTTGTACATAAGAATAATGAGATTGAGGTGTTGTGATGTGAGAAGGAAACGCAATTGACGGGAACAGTTGTTTAAGGTGAGATGTTTGGAATGGATACGAGTTACCTAAGTAAGGCAGCGGTCCAAATGTAGACCCGGGTATCTTTCATATCGGGTGGTTGGTAGGGGTATATTATTGAGGTAAATATGTGGGTAAACCGTTAGTTTTAGAGTAAATGTGAAGTAAATATCTCATTGATTTTTATTCCCTATTATATATCAAGTTATATCATTATACCAAGTTGATAATAGATTGAGGTAATTTTGGATAAGATTTGAGGCAGTTGCAGGGTCGTCGTGAAGGGTTAGGAGAGCTTTATCGTCAGCAAAGTCAGTGGTAGTGGTGTATGGTGTAGTGGAATGATCCGAGGTGAAAAGATTAAATAATAAAAGTGTCGTGACAGTGCCTCTAGGAACACCAGCACAAATTGGTGATATTTCAGAAAAGGAAGATCCTGATCATACGTTAAAGTGTCTATTTTCTAAGTAACAATATGGGGGAAGAGAAAAGTTTTTAGTTTGAAGAGGACACCATCGTGCCATGTTCGAAAATGCGCCCGTGCATACAAGCTTTTTTTCTAACGTGTAGAAAATTTTGTCAACTAAGCGGTGTACTTGGAGAATAGTTGAATGGTTGTGATGAAAACCGAATTATGTGCTTGAGAGATTGCATTCGATTGCAGTTTGATTGTTTATATAATTTAAATAATGAATACACAATGTAAATTAATATATTTATATCATACATATATTAATAACGCAATAACTCAAAAAAAATTTTTTTTCTTTAAATTAATTAATATTTTATTAATTTTAATAACTAAATTAATTAAATTAATTAATCGATCATCAAGTATTAACTTAATTGAAACAGACATGTCTATAATGAAGAATCTTCATTATAGAATACAAAAGATTTGAGCATACATTTTACATATCAAACTAAGTTATATTATTTTTGTTTCCAGTTTCTATATTCCATTATCGATTACAGAACGGATGAAATAATAACATTTTAAATAATTACACAACTCTACAAAAAAATCGAATGAAAAGTGCTAGTAAACAAACCATGTTTACTTTATGTTTGTGGGGTCGCTGAATCCAAATCTGAGGTTTGTTTGACGCCATCAAGTCATGGTTTTTCATAACCTTTAAAAATGTGCTTGATAATCAAGTTATTCATTAGGAAGTAAGACAGGAAAATTTATAACCTAAATCTACTGTGCGTTATGCTTCAACCTGTAAAAATCCTAACATCATTTAGACTGACTTGACGCGGAGAGTCTTTTTTGGCATAATATAGTAATATGACCACACAATACTTCAGTGCTAATACTATACTAGGCGAGGGAAATTAGAGGTATTAGTATAGAAATTGCCCTGTTGATATATTTCAGTAATTACTTGGTTCTCAAGCACATTTTTAAAGGTTATGAAAAACCATGACGTGATGGTATCAAACAAACCTCAGATTTGGATTCAGTGACCCCACAAACATAGAGTAAACATGGTTTGTTTACTAGCACTTTTCATTCGATTTTTTTGTGGAGCTGTGTTATACATTATTATGGAAGAATAAATTTTTACAGCTATGAATGGCTTTTATTTGATTTGATAATTCTTCTCATTGATAATTATCAATTATTTATAATAATTATGAATATAAATAATGTATATACCTCCTTTACACGAAAACCAAAGAATTACTCTTCTACAAAGTGGGCATTTCATTTCTTTTCTGAGTCTTAACTTTTCAGCACATTCGTTACACAACAAATGTTTACATTGCTTTAAAGTTACGGTAGAATCTTTATAGCAAATTGGACATTTTTCAGCTTCCAAAAAAAAAAAAAGAAATCATATTATCATATTTATAATTATTTCCTTTGCAATAATTTTCCATACATTCGAACTGTATGGAATTTATGGTAAACATAATTTTAATTTTAATACTTGTGTGACGGATAACAAGAAAACTTATACGACTTAGCGTAACAAAATGATATAATTTTTGTCAAAGAAATTCAATTTTTAATTATACAAAAAAAATATTATGATAAAAAATTCAAAAAGTATGAGTTTGAAATAGTTTATTCAACAATACATTTATAAATAAGGTGCTTTAAACGTATAGGCGTAAGTGGCATTTTAGCTTCGATCTAGTCGAAGACATTACCTTCAAAAGTTGAAAAAAATTTTCCTCGTTCCCTGTAAATAGGGACCCTCCAAAAAAATTACAAATTTAAAAATTGCTAATTTTCGAAATTTTTTTTACTTAAAACTGCTATAACTTTTTCAACATTGAAGAAATAAATATAATTATTTTTTTTACAGATGCATAATGTTTTTACTTATCATTTGATATAATTTTTTTTTTAATTTGACTCTTTACCTGCCCACAGGAAAGGATTCAAAATGACAACTTTTTCACAAAAAATTAACTTTTTCAATTTAACTTTTGAAAGTGTTCCGGAAATACTGACACTTTTATATATACTTTAAATTAAAGCTTATGTAATATACTTTATTATGGAAAACAATTTTTTGGACTTTATTTTGTCTTCACGGTGAAAATGGCTACTGTATGCTATTTTTGTGTTAAAATTCTCGATCTTATATTTTAAATTTTTATCTTAAAAATGCTATAAATTTTTGAAAAATGTATGGATCAATATATTTTTTTTTTTCAAGTATTATTTATATTTATATATTTTTAATATATAAATATATTTATTCATATACTGCACTTCTAAATCATAAAACTTGTAATCAGAATATAAATATTAAAATAGGAAATCCTGTAGCTTTTGGAATAATCCATAATATTTTTTAAATTAAACACTATCTACAGATTTTAATCGAAGCGTTTTTTATGATAGTGATTTTAATCACTGTCAAAAATCATCTATGCTGGACCCAACTATGCCACGACCCTACTGTGCTGGTTTTTTTTTTTTAATGTCTATTTATCAAGTTTAAAGTAGTCGTTTTCCATTTAATATGAAAAAAAATAATTTTTTCGTGATTTTTGCAAATTTTTTCTCCAAGTTTTTAGTTTTATCGTACATCTGACTAATATATTATTTCATATTTCAATCAATATCATTAGTAGTATCTTATATATTACATAATACTAATAAGATACTCTTTTAATAAGAGCTTTAAAACATATTTGTGAATACTTACCTTCTTCAATGAATAATGCTGTAAAACAAAATTTGACTAAACGATTGTGAAGAAATATTTAAATAATACATTTTTTTGATTTATAAAATTATGTTGAATATGATTCTGTTAAACTTTTGTTATGTTTGTTGTTGAGCAATATAAATTTAAAAAAAGTTAAAGTTTAAAGAAAGCTCATTACAGGGTGATTTTTTTATCATAACCCACTCAATTACTTACAGAATAATAATAATATAAAAATTTTATTTTATTACTATCATTAGTTACACATTATTCTTGAATTATTAACTATGTAATACTTTTTAAGATCATCCCTTATGCCTGGTAAGGGTGTCAACTTTGTTTTTTTAAATGGTAACACATATTTTGAATTTAATAAAATGTTTGAGTTTTCAATTCAATAATAAATGGCATTTGAATTTTTAATATTACTTTATTCGTTTATTAGATATAAACATTTAAAGTTTCAATTTTTTGAGTTAATATACATGTATAATACACTAGGGATTAAAATTACAGGTAGCTAATTGGTTTTTTATGACATCGATATTAGCAGGTACAAGGCATTGTTATTATCAATGGTAGTAAGACACATTGTTGTGAGTTTATAAATACACTAACTGACAATACAGAATGTATATCTATTGATAGTCATAATTGATAATAAACAATCCGTGACTGTGATAGCAATATCATAAAAAATCAATTAGCTACCTGTATTTGTAATCCCTTGTGTATTATACCTATATATTAACTTAAAAAATTGAAACTTTAAATGTTTATATCTAATAAACGAATAAAGTTATATTAAAAATTCAAATGACATTTGTTATTAAATTAAAAACTCAAACATTTTATTAAATTCAAAATATGTGTTACCATTTAAAAAAACAAAGTTGACACCCTTACCAGGCGTAAGGGATGAACTTAAAAAGTATTACATAGTTAATAATTCAAGAATAATGTGTAACTAAAGATAATAAAAAAAAAAAAAATTTTAATTATTATTATTCTGTAAGTAATTGAGTGGGTTATGATAAAAAAATCACTCTGTATATATATATGAGTGTATTAGTTAAGGTCATTTTGCTCAGATTTTTAAATTTGTGGTTCAAAGCTACTGCTGGGTAAATTCTCAAACGACTTAAATTCTATACAATTTATTACAAATCTGTTTTAAATAATTTTTTACAAACAAAAGTTTATCATTTGATACATAGTACAGATTCGTTTTACACTTGTCAACGTCATTTAAATGGAAACATTTTTTATTCTATATGTAATAATGGTTTACTATTATTCTAGCAGTAGCTAGTATAAAAGTCATAAAAATAATTTTTGTAATCGCAGACCAGATTTTGAATCAGAAGCAGAAAGTAATTTTTTTGCTACCATATGTGGTAAAAGTTTATACGATAGTTTAAGTTGTTTAGCTAAGTAATTGGTCATAAGCCAGTTTGCAAAGAACTAAAAATAATCATATTCTTACGCCAAGGGCATTGTTCGATTTTTGTGACTTAAACATAAAAATTATTTAGTTTTTAGATATAATTACTTTTGATGTATATTCTAATGATCACAACTTAAATGAACTATATAAAACTGTAATTAAATGAACTGCTATTCGTCCATATCAAAGTTTTATTCTCAAAAATGGAAGTTATCTGAGTTATAAGATAACTAAAAGTCCACAAATTCGATTATTAAAATTGTTTAGTAAATTATATGCACAAAATAAATAATTATTTGCGATAGAGACGTTTATCATATGTTTTTAATAATAATTTTTAGATATGATCATATCTGTTAATATATATACAGAGTGGTACGGATCTAACTAACAATTCATAAACTGTTACCAGTAATTTTTAAAATATTTTTTGTAATTGCCAAAATAAAAAAAAAACAAATTTTAAATATAGTTCTATACTGTAAAAATTGATTGAAAAAAAAAAAAAAAGAAAAAAATGTTATATGAGTTATATCTATTCCACTATGTATATGGATGGATCAAAAAAAGTCGGTTTTCGAAATTTGAATAAGAACCATTTAAAATTTATTTTATATATTAAAATAGGCATTTTGTGAAAATTTAAGATTTTTAAAAAAAATTTTACTGTTGGCTCAACGTGTTTTTAGTATTTTGACCAAAAATACCCCAAAAAACAAAAAATGGCCTCTGTTAATCAAATTTTAATCAAATATTATGATTAGTATATAAAAACAGTTTGATTTTTACTTTAGAATACAAATTTTTCAGTTTCAAAATTTTAAGTCGAAATTTGATAGCGTGGATATCATAATTAGAGTCATTATAGGGTATATTTTTTGTAGATCTCAAGTAAGCTTAAAATTTAAAAAAATTTTTTTTTTATGCAGTTTGGCTGATATTTATGTATATTATAAGTAGAAAAAAAATTCTTCACTAATCTTAAAAACTTATACCTTTTTTATAAATAATGCATAAGCTAAAATATACGATATTCTTGAAAATATGAATAACTGAATATGTCTTTACATACTTTTCAAATATTTTTTTTTAATTAAACAATTAATTTTTTATTAAATATAATACAATGAAAAAGTAAATTTATTTTGTAATATTACAAGGCGTTTTACTTGTAGTTGGTAAATCGAGATGACATACACGCTATCAAATTTCGACTTAAAATTTTGAAACTGAAAATTTTGTACTTTAAAGTAAAAATCAAACTGTTTTGATATACTAATCAGTGGCGTTTTTAGGATTTTGTTGCCCTGGGTAAACATTTCTTTTTATGCCCTCTTTCTCTTACAGTTTTTTATACTGGCAATTTTTATACCCATAAAAAAAACTTACAATACATGCGATATGGAAATAGTATTATGAAGTATAAAAATCTATTGAGTGTCCTAGAATGTTGAATATCGTAGATACCCATGATAACAAAATAATTAAAGCAAATTGTAAAATTATAAAATTTATTTTCTAATCTACTTACAAAATAGTGAACAAAATGTTAACAAATAAAAAAAAAATAGTGAACAAATTAATATAATATAAATACCTATGAGAAAAGAAAAACAAACATCATTAAACTAATATTTTTCGTCGGGCTTTTGATCTTGCATAATCTTCAATTATTTCATCATAGTCTAATGAAGTTCTCAACTGAGATTCAATATAGAAAATCGCTAAAGACTTTAAATGATTATCATTCATCGAAGATCTGAGATATGATTTTACCCTTTTTAGAGTACTAAATGAACGCTCAGCTGAAGTATTTGATTAAAATTCAATTTAATCGTTGTTATAGAAATAGACTAAAATGTATTAACTTATACTTACACTATTTTACACAATGTAAAGATTTTAACACGCCGTTTAATAAAAATATTTAATAATGTTACTCTCAAACAGAGAAAATATAAAAAAATATTTTATATATAAAAATTTAACAAGACAGGAGAGAAAGTCGTAAAGATAATATAAAATGAACGGTCACAGTTAGTTCATTATCATCATTCAGTTATTCATTATCATAATATCAGTTATCATTAATGATTCACACTGTCACTGCTGTAATTAACACGTTAATAACATCAGGGTAGTACTGTATTTTTTTTTTTGAACAGCTGCTGACGACAAACAACAAACCAATATACGCGCCACACGCGCTTATTATGAAATTGACAAATTTATAAAATAGCTGTGTTGATATTAATAAAAAGTTTTGTTGAAATTTATTTGCCTAAAAAAAAAAAATAACCAATATTTTTATTTCATTTTTTTTACCGCTTAAATCATTCTAAATCGTTTATGTATAAAAAAAAACTTTCAGTTAATTTGCTGTCCCCCAAAAAGTGCTGCGGGGGGCAATTGCCCTCCTTGCCCCCCCCTAAATACGCCACTGATACTAATCATAATATTTGACCAAAACTTGATTAACAGAGGCCATTTTTGTTTTTTGGGGTATTTTTGGTCAAAATACTAAAAACACGTTGAGCTACCAGTAAAATTTTTTTTAAAAATCTTGAATTTTCACAAAATGCCTATTTTAATGTATAAAATAAATTTTAAATGGTTCTCATTCAAATTTCGAAGATCAACTTTTTTTGATAAATAAATAATAATATTATAAATTTTAAATTTTCGCAAAGGACAATATTATTTGATAAACTCTACAATAATATAAAATAAAATCATTTTTTTTTCATTTCTTCGGACAATAAAAACTGAATTTTAATTATCTTTAAGAAAATCCCTATTTTTAATTTGACGATAGAAAAAACTTTTTTTTTAATTTTGATCTTATTTCTATTATTTAATTGATTGTTTGCGTTTTAAAATTGGTTGAAGATTTAATTTTAAAATTCAGTATTTGTAATACCGGAAGCCACAATATTTTGTTTAAATGGGCCATAAATTAATAAATGAGTCATCGAGAAATTTTTCCTAACTGGCTGTACAACAATGTACGATGTTCGATTGCATTAAATATAAAAGTATGCATCTATTAATAAATATTAATTATTAAGGACAAGTTTAATGTATGGTGGGTAATATAGTGTTGTACTCGTGCAAATGATGACTTCTGTATGTTATACAGCAAATTATCAATAAAAAACCGCTAAACATAAATCGACGAGAGAATAATGGTTCATCGGATAATAAATATTATAAGGACAATAATGTTTATAATTTTTATTTTTATTATAACATCAAAGTAAAAATAAGGGTTCCATTATAGACAAATAAAATGTGTTAGTTTTTTATTTCGAAACGGACAAAAAAAATTAAACTTAATAATTTTGTAGTCTTTTGAATCAATGAATATCTTTACAAAAAATCTTTATCAATTTCTTTATAAAAATTTATTATTAACAATAGTTTTTTTAAATAAATTTACTCTTGAAATTTTTGAAATTATACATTGTGTAAAAATTGAATTAAATTAAGAAAATTTAGTATCGATAATTTTTTTAAAATCTAGATAAACTATAAAGTAGCTATCTTAAAATTTCTCCCAAAAAATATTCAAATTAAATTTTTCTTTAATTATTAATAAAAAAATATGCTAATAATAAATTTGAAATGTAAAGAGCACATTTCAAATAATAAAGTTAAATACAGTAAGGATTACATTAAACAAGCTTTGATTTAGTTTTGAACGATTTAGATGTTCCTATGCCATGCGAAAAACTTAAAAAAACTATTTTTAACAAACATTTTAGACTTTAACGTCCGATAATTCTTAGAAATCAATTGTTTGATGGTTTTTCTTTTTCGTTTTTTGAGACGAAAAAAGAACTATAAATCTTATACATTTTATGTTGGTTCAAAAAAGTAACATCATTTGAAATATTATGAAAAATTGTGAAATGTGTATATTGATACGAACAAAAAAAATAAACCCGACAGAGTAAAACTAATAGTTTCTGAGCTAATAGTGTATTCTTGATATTAAATATCGATAATTTGTAAATAAATATATATAAAATTTTATCACTTATCAAAATTTTCCATTATAATGCATGCATTAAAAACTTCCAATACACGTACGTGAATAATCGGACATTTTTTAGAAATCTAAAGTAGTTTGAATGGAATAATTACATTTCTTTATTGAGAATATAAATCGCGGGATGATATATCTTAAGTCGATTGTAGTTTATATAGTATTGATGGACTGAGAGTATGACAGGAGTAGAAAATCATCTGGAAGAAATTGTTAAACGGTTATAAAGTTTGAAAATAATCGTAATAAAATTATGCATATGAAATTTGATTTGGATTTGTACAAAATCATATATGGCGTGAATCATGTTATAGAAGAAGTAAAAATAAACGGAGATGACGTGGTTGAGGTTGAAAGTTTCAAGTACTTAGAGTATATCAAAAGTACAGTGAATTCAGATCAAGATTAGGTTGGATTTGCGAAAGAAAATTTTTGGTCAATAAAAGGTTTATAATAAGGTAATTGGTTGATTCCAATCAATCTATAAGCAAAATTTTATAAAACTGTATCACTACAGTTTTATTGTATAGCCTCACGGCTATGTGAGAAAAAAAGAGTAATATAATTTTTAATATTAAAAAAATCTGTTGTTATCGTGTAGTTTAATGGTCAACAACAAAAACATTGGAAATTAAGACTAAATTTGGTATAGAACTATATGAATTAGAAATTCATACCGATTCATTAAAAAGCGTTAATATAATTAATGTGATACCAAGTTATTACTATTATTTTTAATTGAGTTATTGACAGATGTCGACATGAATTTTTAATAAATAAGTCTGTATATTTCTTATAAGTTCAAAGGGCGAGTTATGTTTGTTGATTTTTCTTAAGTTGAGTTAATTGATTATTAAAAAAAAAACAATTACCTTTGTTGAATACTGAGAAAAAAAAGACGTAAAAGAATAACGTCATACTTTTAAACTTTATATAGTTGTTTTTAATTATTTGAACTTGATTATCTTCTTGAAAAGTAATGTGCGAAAAATGAAAATTAAATATTTTTTAATTTTGTTCAATATCATAAATTAAATTAAAATAATTTTGTATATTTGTATACTAATGCTTGTGCAATAGTTTACTCATAAATTTCTAATGGACAAAAGATAACACGAAAAATTTTCACGGTATCTCATTTTATAATAATAACATGTTTATTTTTCATTTACTTAGATGTGCGTTGTACTATTGTAAAAGTAAAAATAACCAAATTTTTAGTTTCCACAAATTATTTTATGCGTTTATAATATACTACGGTTTTTAATTTTAGTACTTTATTATTTATATTTTGTCATTAAATGATGTGAACAAATTGAAATACATGGCGTATATTGAATTTTTCAAAGTGCTAACCTGAGATAAATTTATAATAAGTTATTAGCAATTTATTAATATCTGTATTATTATATTATTTAATATACAGAGTGATCGGTTTATCATAAACCATTCGATTACAAAATAAAAATACAATATTGAATAAAAAAAATTGGTTTTTTTTTTAGTTACATATATTTTTTGATTAATCAGCTATTAATTACTTTTTAGAATCATCCGTATAACTTAATATATATCTTAACTTAACATATAAGCTTAATAGGTGCCAGCTTAATTTATTTGAATGGCTATATTTATATATATTTATCTAGCTTACAAAATAATCCAATGAAATAAATGGCTGGTCGATAACAACCATTGAACTGATACTTTGGAAAGTATTCTTATTTTTATGTCTAGCCAAAAGGAAGAATACGGCCGAGAAATGTGTGATAAAAACAACAACACTCGCGTCTCATCTCCAAGACCACTGTAAAACGCTAATGACCAATCCAGTGTTATATTTATGTAATAAGAAGTTCTATTATTTAAAAGAAAGAAATTTACTAATACTTAAGCTCAAAATTGATATCCGTGGGTCAATTGTTATAAACAATGAGAACGATGGAAACCCGTTTCCTTACGCTATAGGGCGTTCAGTGAATAAGGATATTCATTGATATGTGTATAGTAAGATACACGTATCAATACACATGTAAATTTTTTTAATTTAAATTGTGCTATTGATTAAAATGTGACATTCCTAGAGTATTAAACGGAAAGGATCTTTTCACAAAATAATTTTTCGTCTGAAATGTTTATAAATACTTTTGTGTTTAAATTGATTATAAAGAGGTAATCGTTGGAGCAGTCGCGGCCGCACATCGTTTGGGTGAGACGGTATGTTGACTCCCCGCGAGTGCCACGCTCCAAAGCGCTTGCGCCACCGGAACATTGTAGTCCGCCTCCAGACCATACGGTCGGCCGCCCTCCGGGCGAACGGCGTCACCGGTGGCCCGTTCCTTTAACGATAGGTGGCGGACGGGAGCGGTGCCAGGACGCCGGCCGCCGCACACTGACCTCGTAACCCTGTAACGCTTCAGCCCTTCGTAACTGTAAATAAACTGAACTAGTATCTGAAATAAATACTTAAAGATCAATCGAATATACACCCAAAGAAAAACCTCAATCAATTTTGATAGAGGAATTTTATCAAGGGTTTATGATAATGTTTTATTAATACGAACAAAATAATTATTCTTATGAATAATTATTGTTCAAGATAAGAAAAAAAATCATCATATTGATAAATATATCATAGATTCAATAGTAATGATATATTTATCAAATTGAACAATGAATTTATTATATAGATCCAGGTTTTTCTCTGGGTGTACGAATTATATTTTTTTTCATGGTATTGTCTACAATAACTTTGATTGAGTTAAAGTTTAAACAATACGTCGATGTTTTGAGATAACTATTTCTAAATTATTTGTAAGTAATTTCTCTAAAAAATAATAAAAGGAACAATTAATTTCAGAAATTATATTAGGTTATGTCGTTTTAATTCGAAGCAAAATTATTTTCGACAGGGTTAAATTAATAAAAATGAAATAAAAAAAAACTCTTTATTCAGCGTTTAAATTTCATGTATTTATATTGGTTGATAGAATTTTTGTGAAATTTGTATAAATAAGACAAAAAAATCATAAATTATATCATATATTCCTTAACAACCAGCGATATCTTAATGGTATATTTGTTCATTTTTATGTTAACTTTGATATTTTTTTTAATATTCAACATAGAAAAAATTATAAGAACAAAATTGTTTGTACATTTTTTTTCTATCGTATTATGAAGGTAAAAATAGAGAGAGGCTTTTATTAAAGATAATTAACGGTGAGGTTTTTAATGCTCGATGAGATAAATAAAAAATTTATTTAACTACATATTATTGTAGAATTATAATATTTTTGACGAAAAAAATAAAAAATTTTCAACTGCTTTCGAGAATGTAAGTGTTTATCCTTAAAAAATCACTCTGTATTTAAAAAAACCTATTGAATCGTTTTACGAAATAGATTTTAATCACGGTCAGATATCAGTTAAAAATTATCAAAAAAAAATCTCTACTCTACTTTGCTGAATCCCTAATGTATTTTACTTTTTTTTTATGTTTTAAATAAATTTATTTATTATTATTGTTTAATCATACGGTTTGGTTACTATTAGTGATTGTAGATGTATGTTGTACAATATAAGTGTATGTTTTTAGTTGTATTTAAAATTACATAGAAAAAAATCAGTTGTGACCGGTTATCGGAAAATCCTATTCAATCACCGATTTTAAGCATGAAAATATCCGAACCTAAACAAATTATTGTTTCAGACCTCTTATAAACTAAACAATCAATATTTTTTTTGAAAATTTCTCGTATCTATAGATTAATATTGTTTTAGAGCTCAGGATTAATTGCAGTTGTATAACGTATAAAATTCAAATGTATAATTTTGGTTTTTATTAAAAAAAAAAAATTTACATCATTTGTGAAATCTTTGAGCTGGCAAATAATTAATCATCTAGTAGCTAATATTTTTTCAATTGTATAGTAATCGATTCCGAGTACTGAACTGCATTTCAGTATCTTCACCATTTCTAATGAAATATTTCGTTAATATTTCTTTTTCTTGGTTATTCGTATGGTACAAAAAGAAAACACGTCGCGTCCTCTGATCTATTTCGTCCTTCGGTTTATCATTTTTTATAGACTTACGAATATACGTCAAGACGTGTTTACTGTACGACGATCGGATTTGATGAATATCACTTAAAATTTCTGCATCAGCGTATTGATGCGGTAAAAGATAAAAATAACGGGAAATCAACTCTTCGTCCGTAATTAGTTGGCTTTTAACACCGTTCACTATATGAGCCATCTCTGCATCGGGTGATAGGCCAGGTTTTATATAAGGTTTCCACATACCTTTGTTGACATGAAATTATTAGAAAACACATTTTATAGTAAAAAACAATAAGTTTAAAATAGAAATCTGGCCCACTATGTATTAATTACTTAATGGGCTAAATTTAGGAATCTTGGGGCCAAATATTTTTTTCTCTCTAGGTTTGTGTAATGGAAAACCGTCATTTTTTTTAATAGATAAAGCTTTTTTAAATATATTGAAAAAAATCGTATTATTATCATTTCATATATTCAGGTCAATTACATCAATTGGCTATTAGCTTCGACGCGAAGCTAAGAAGGTATTTTTAAATTACAAATATCCGATTTATTAAAACAATATATAAATTATGTGTTGAGTAAAACAATCATCAATTCACATAATATTTATACAAAAAACAATTAATAAAATCGTTATAGTTAACGAATTAGTTAATGATACGGATAAACTTGAATGTTTTTTTAAATCGAAATTCATTTCATTATTTGATTTTTATTTAAAAATACATTGAAAACAATTTTTGAGAAAATCGAGTTCAATTTTTCAATTAGAATCAATATTTTATATTATATTAATAGACTTAAAAAATGTTAATAATGACTATTATTTGTATGTACTATGCTAATGGATTTATAGAGTTTAAACATCGACTCAGAAAACAGGTGTTTTCTGCATTAATGTGAAATGAATAAAAATAAAATTATCATTATACTTTGGTTAAAAACTTTTCCGTATAACTTCAGGAATACTTATTTAAATTATTATATTAATTCTAAAAATTATTTCACATTTTATTAAATATTATGTTATATTATTATTATTTTAATTTTATCAATTAAATAAAATTCATTACTCAGCTCAAGTTGATGTCCGAAAATTTAAAAACTCACACTTTGTATTTTTTTTTTAATTATTTTTTTTTAGTTTTCCTGATTATGTTATAAACTACAAAATCACGAATACTTATACTTGAAAAATTTATTCTCCCATTAAAATGTTGGTTGTATTTAGAATAAAATATACATCCTTCAAAAACCCTCGAGCATTGAAGACTATATAAACTCTGTGATTTAGTTACATTAATAATTTTTTCATGTAAAATAAGGTTTTAAAAAAATATTCCAGGAAGATTCAGGAAATTATTTTACCCGAGTATGATAATAATAATAATAATAATAATATGAAACAGTTGAGTAGATAGAGTGTCACTTTTTCGATAATCGCCAAAGATGATTTCGGCAGCCTATCAGTTAAGAAAATCAAAGTACGCGCACACAAAACCTATCTTGATAGGATTATAAACGGTAGTATAGGCCATTTTCGGCGCCAAATTTTTTTAACTTTAGTTTTTACGCAAGTAACACTGTTTTGGCGTATGTAGTTTTGTTATAGGCTCGGTTTATATTTTTCGGCCCGGTAATTTTCCACCATCGTAGTGTTTGTACGGCGAAAATATTATGAACGGTTTGGTTTGCAACACCGTTCAGTGTTGACGTTGTTTTTTATAACCGGGCGAGCTGGTGTTTTTAGAGCTGGATTAGAACGGTTTCGCCATCGTGTGTTTATGTGCAACATTGCTCATGTTACCGCTAATATTACATGCCTCATTGTGATTAGATTTATGTCACTAAACATTAAGTTCAGATTTCGAAGTTTGTGACACATTTTATTTCGGACATGGTCATTATAGGACGATTCTAAAAAATCGATTTCAGCCAAATTTCGTACAAATAATTTTTTACCTAACGGAACAGTTCTAGGGGGTGTATCGAATGAATATCAAAACTTCTTTTTTGAGAATCGCCCAAGATAATCACATAAATCATCCTTACTATCGGTCAGCTCGAAGGAATTAAATATTTCATTTGAATAGAGACGTGTGAACCAGGTCGTTTTTGCATAATCATGAGTGTTATGCTTTTACTATTTAAGTAGTTCTTATGTTCAATAATATTTATAATGACGTATGTGCGTCTCATATACGTTAATGTACGTGTTCGTAATATGCATGTTTATCATATACATTGTATATATTGGTTAATAAGAAGGTTTTAATACAGTCGTTGCATTCATACTGTACATTTGTTAGTGACCTATTGTTATCGTTTATTTATGTAGCAAATTGTATGTAGGATACAAAAACAGTTGTAGAAATGAACGTTGAAGGAAGAAAAGGTAGTGGAAGACCAAAAAAGAGATGAAGGGATGCTATTGAATTCGATATGAGGACAGCTGATGTGAGCGTAGATGATGTGGGAGATCTTGTCAAGTGGAAGTTTAGGATAAGGGTGGCTGACCCCAAGTAGTTGGGATTATGGCGAGGAAGTAGAAGAAGATTGTGCATGTAGGATAATATAACTCACGAAAACACCCAAGAGTCATACGAGCCGACAGCCCTGTAAGAGTCCGTATGCAAAACATGTCTAAAAAATCTTTCGGATGTAAACACGAGGTAGAAAAAGTCGTCTTGTAATTGGACTAAATAAATATACAGCATTACTGGTGTACAGTTACGGAGTTAATAGTAAAATTAATAGAAAAACGTTTTGTATAACATAGTATTAATATAGTGTATATAGTATTAATACACAGTAAATGAATAGTGCGCTATTACGGACCGTGTCAAGTATATATTAACATAACAAATAAAGTAAAAAAAGACATGCCGTAATGTGAGGGGCGGGACTATTCGAGTCTCCTAAATCTGGTTCAAAAGAATTAATATTGTAACGAATACTGACTTGTTGGGCCAAACAAAGGCAAATGGAAAACTTGGATTAAAACTTAAACTCGAGGGGGAAAGTGAGGAGACTCAGGTCGTATACCGCTTAGCAAGTTTCCCCTTGAAGATTTATTCATAAAGTATATAATTGCGTAGAAACGGGTTCAATATGATATTAATGATATATATTCAAAATGAGTAATAATTTTTCTGCGTTTTTTGTCACTTTAAACCCTAACTTAGATTCAGTTTATCTAAATAAAAAATCAAAATTTCTAGAAAAATAAAAATTTAATAAAATAATTAACTAGAGAAATTTTAATTCAGTAATTGCACTGAAATGTTAAAATTTTCCCGGAAACGAATACAGTTATCGTTGCATCACTACGAATAGTAATTTAAGAACTAATTAAAAAAATGAATTTCGATAAAAAAAAAAAGTGTTCTACTATTTTATATTAAATATTTTAATAACATACTCAACCCAGAAAATGATTTTATTGTTGCTCTACACAAGGAACATTCAAAAAGTTTTCGTAAAACAAATTGATTTGCACATATTCCACACATTTTATGATTACAGTCTATCAAAGTGATTTGTGGATCTTGTTTCCAGCACACGGGACATATATCATCTTCTAAAAATCAATTTTTAATAAAACAATTATTGCTGCTGTTATTTTAAATAATTGTTCTTAGTGATAATTCGATTTATTGTGATGTGACACAGTGGATCATTCAGTCGCCTTTTAGCGCTTATGTTCAGCTGCCCTGATTTCTGTTGTTTCCCGAACGGGCAAAATGATACGGAAACTTTAATAGTGACACCCATATTGGATCTCACAATCATAACAAGATTGCACTAAGTCGGCATCTGATGTAAAAATCTTGTCAAATTGTGCTAAGGTAGAGCCGACTCCAAATAGTTAGGATAGAGGCTAAGGAGACGAGATAAGTAGTTATTCGATTTGTAAGTTATATCGAAATTTCTGAATATCAATTTACTTTTACAGCCATCAAAAAACGATAGCTACTTATTGAAAAAGTATTATATAAAAAGCGAGGAAAAGGTACGACGCGAGATTTAAAACTTTAATTTATTATAATACATCACTGTGATTAATGCTAGATTAGTCGACTGGTCCTATCTTGTGCCCAAAATATTTTACTTTAATCTTCAGCACTAATAAAATATTTACAAGTATTGTTATGATATAAAAAATATTGCTCCAAGTCAAATTTTCACTTAAAGAATTCGCTAATAATTTCAAAATTTAAATTACAATTATGTAAAATTTATGGTGATCTATTTAATATTAAATATTAATGTTAAAAAAGGGCAATTAAAGTTATATTAATGATTAATTGTAAACTTTTTTGTAATTTCACTTATTTCACTTGAAATAGAAATATTTTCTGGTTAAACTTACCATATTTTAATAAAAGTACAACTTTACTGTATATACAAATGTAGCATTTGAATTTAGTTCAAATTTAGTACCACATATATCACATGAATAAATTTTAATATTATAATTTATATCAAATATCCGAATATCGTAAATTTATGTTTACTCAACCTCTTAGTAAAATTTAGGTGCAACTAAATAGATAATAATTAAACTTTTAAAAATTAAATCTTTTTAATGAGTTTAACCATAAAATATTTTAATTTGGTTTATAAATTGTAATTTTTTTATCTTATCTATAACTCAATAAGTTTTGTGATCTTTGAGGTATCGTTGAGCAAAATCGCCCCAATAAAATCAAAGTAATCGTGTCCAATTGCAAAATAAAATATGGCACAATAAAATAAATAGATTCTTAGCTACTCATCGAGGATAGTATATAATGAATATATGCATTTAAAAGAAATTACCAGCAAATATCATTCTTTTAATGTTATTTTACCAAAAAAAAATTAATATAAGTTTTATTTCATAATATTTGTCTTTTTTTATTGATTATAATTATCTATTTGACTTCAGTTCCCGAGATTAAATGTAACACTACAGACAATTAATAATCTGTTAAATGGTTTGTATTAAAATGATTTACAATTAATGAATCATTTATAAATTTCTAGTCTAATAATATATTCACCAAAAGCCAAATATCATTGAAATATTTTGAAATGAATGAGTTCAATAAAACTGAATTTTAATTAAACAAAAGTATGTTAATAACAGAAACATTTAACTGAAAAAAAAGTTATTGACTATTCAAAAATTAATAAACATTATTTTTTACTTTTTTTTTTAAGCATTGAAGCAAAATTTAGAAGGAATTCATAAAATTTTTTTGTGTTTTTATGTAATACATTTTTGTTTAAAATCACATTATTAACTCGAATATAGGGATGAGGTTGGTTTTCTTTTTTTTCCATTTTTTATAATGTTCCGGAAAACCTGAATCCTTTAAAATTATATTTAATTATAGAATTTGAATTACATCGAATTATTAAAAATTTATTAATGTATTAAAACTTGTATGTATTGTTTTATTGTTTAAAATATTAGAAATTTTAAATTGAAATAAAAAAAGATTAAGACTAATTTTTTTTTAATTTTACATTATTCTCTCCCCAATAAAATCTAGGAATTGGTCTCTGTTATTCAACTACCCGACATATTCACTAAGAATGCACCTATTTATATTTATTTTCATTATGTATTAATCAAAACTGTAACAGTTACCCTATACTTTAGTAAACAATCAAAGATGTAGTTGTTCAATTAACTTAGTATTGTACTAAGTAAATTCACACATACTTAATTGTTTTAACGAGGATACTAGTATAAAAGTAATTTAACCTATTTATTTTGTGGAAAAATTTTCTTCTGGCGTTTTAAAATGTGAGTACTGACAAACTTCATAGTATAAAGAGTGGGATCAAACTTACATAAATGAATTACTTAATAAATAATATTAATATTTAATATCATATATGAATATCATAATATTATGTATTAAATATTGATTACTTAAAATTACTTTCGATAAATTAATGGATAATAAAATTAGACATTTTTAAAAATGTTCAGATTAATTAATCTGCACTTACTACTTCCTCCTGATTCATCTGCTGTTAAATATTAAACGATTATAAATACCTGTGAACTAATAAAATAAGCGACCAATCTGCTAAACTTACATTCCGTTCTTTGAAGTGTACCTGAAAGAATATTTAAAATTGTTTTTATCAAATATTACTCTAAACTTTTTTAAAATATATCATATTTGCATGTAAAAAAATATATACAGAGTAATTTATTGTATCATGAACCATCTATTTAAATGAAAAATAATATTGATAGCTCGTTAAATATTTTTTTTGGTTATACATTTTTCTAAATGTATCAATCATGAACTATTTTTTTAATTTATCCTTTACATTTTATATGAGTGACAGTTTTACTTTTTCAAAAGATAATATAATCAACTAGCTTATTTATTAGATAAAGACCTAAGCTTCTAAATTTTTGGCATTAGATTAAATCTGGCCCTATCGACATATAAACTAATAAAATCGGTCCCGTAAGAACTACGAATTCCTATAGACAGACATAAAAAAACACATTATCATACATCGATAAGTTGTATCTGGGAGACCTAGATTCGCATCGAACATAAACTGTTTATAATTTCTGGAATGTTGAACCAATTTTTCTCATTTTAATAGAGGTTTTAACGTTGCTTACATATATACCTTAAGAATGAGATTAATTTTTTTTTCATAATTAAACAATCTTCTCAAAAAAAAAGTCTAGAACAAAGACTTACTGTTCATCAACTACCCGGTATATTTACAAAAAAGTATCTACTCTAGATGTTAATTTTCATTGAGTATCTATCAAAAATTTAGAGGACTGTAACAGTTACCCTAAACTCTCGTACAAAATCGAACATGTACTTTTTTGTTACAAATCAGTAACATATTGAAATGGTTACAAGCACATTGTAGTTACAAAACCCCATCAGTATTAGGTAAATTTAGACATACTTAATTGTTGGAACGAGAAAACTAGTATAAAAATAATTAAACCTATTTAATTTGTGTAAAAATGTTCTTTTGACGTTTTCAAATGTGAGTACTGGCAGACTACAGAATATAAAGACTGGGATTAAACTTACATTTATTTATCGATAAATTAATATCCAAAAAAATTAGACATTTTTAAACATTTTTCGATTAATTATATTACACTTACTACTTCCTGATTCTTCCGCTGTTAAATAATTAACTATTATTAAAATCTGTTTACTAATAAAATAAGTGACTAATCTGCTAAACTTACATTCTGTTCTATGAAGTGTACCTGAAATAATTGTTAAAATTGTTTTTATCAAATGTTAATTTCAAATATACCATTTTCAAAAAAAAAAAAAAAAAAACATTCAATTTCTCTTAAAATAATAACTTTTCGACAATTTTTTTTTTGGATTTTGTTAGTTATATATGTAAATCCATTTATCCATTATTATATATTTTTATGTTTATCCCTTATGTATTATGGAAATGTCAACTTAATATTTTTTAAAAAAGAAATTTATGTAAAATATTAATCGAGTCAAAAGTTATTGTATTTGTCATATTTTCGTGTCTCACCTGTATTAATATATATATATACAAATAGATTTGTTAGCCATTCGATTACTCGCAAAATAAATACAATATTGGAAAACAAATTTTTTGATTTATTTTAGTAACATATATTTCTTTATTTTTCACCTAATAATAACTTTTTAGAATCACTTAAAAATACTTAAAAAGTTATTAGCATTTTAAAAATATTTACTGGACATGAAACAAGGATGTTTTTATTTTAATCATTATCCAATTCTAGGCCGCTCTCCTCCCGTCTTGATGCAAAATTGTGAATAACTGCCGACGCAGCGGACCAAATGTTATAGTTAATAAAAGTTATAAGTTGTTATTAACTTCTGAAGTACTGGTCCAAATGTTGCTGTCAATCAGTAATTTTCTTAATTAAATTTTTGTCTATAATATAAGTTAGTTAATTATGTATATGTTATTAAAAAAATATAAAGTCGACACCTCCATAATAAATAAGTGATGAACATAAAAAATAAATTATAAAAGAAAGGTAAAAAAGTTTTTGGTTATACCAAAAGGTAAAAAAAATTGATTATTTTAAGAGAAATCGAGTGGCCACCGTTAAAAGAATCATCTTGTATTTTTCTATCAAATAAATTTAGAAATTATTTATAATTTACAGAATGATTTAATTACATTTACTACTATCTGATTCGTCAGCTGTAAAATATTAAATAATTATTAAAATTATTAAACTAATAAAATAAGCAACAGTTTTATCTTCGATGCGTATACGCGGTGTTTAAATAAGATTAATAATAAGATTAAAAATAAATAATAAGATTGATGTTTCGTAATTTTTTTTTTGAATTAAAATGATTATTTTACATTATCTCTTTCGAAGTAATTGCCCTGCCAATTCACACGACATTGGATTCGATTGTTCGTAGTAGCTCAGCAGCTCGGTTGCTGGAATAGCTTTCTATTGATCATATTAATATTTTTTCGTGTCCCAAAATGTCGTCCTTTTTTGGTGAATTTTATTCTTGAAAAAGAAAAAAAATTACAAGGGCTCATTTCAGACGAACAAAGGGAGTTGTGGTGCCACGGGAATATTTTTGATTGTCAAAGACTGGTTAAATGAAACGGCTGGGAGACAAGATGTATTGTCATAATGCAGCACTCAGGTATTTTTGATGTTTGGTCTCGCACGAACTAAAAAATTGTACCTATCTACATCTTTTTGAAGTCTTTCAAGGACTTTTTTATAATTGTGTTGGTTAACTGTTTGGCCTCGAGGTACGAACTCTTCGTGTACCATTCCCCAAACATCAAAGAATCAAATCGTCATGGTTTTGACTTGCTCATTCTTCCTTTTTTTTTTGATCTTGGCGAAGCCAGCGTGTGTCATTTTTGGTTCGGACGCCTCGTTTCTGGGTCGTACTGAAAAATTCAAGCCTCGTCACTATTAGTCATCATTACTGGTTCTGAATTTTCGTTCTAAGAAAGAATGGTCATTTTCAAGTTGCATTTCTCCTGTTGGGGTCTTGCGGCAGAATTTTCGGAACTAATTTTGTGCACGTTTTCCTCGTCTCCAAATTGATGATCGAGATTTAATGATCATTGGCTTTAGTTGTGGTCAGAATTAGTGCTCCAATTATTCGGACCGTCAACCGACGATCGGATCGGACGAAATGCCGAACTCGGATAATGTTTTTAATCGTTTTTTTTGCTGTCCAAGATCTTCCACTGCAACTTTCGTTTTCAATCGACTTTCTGCCTTCTCAAAAAGTTTTAAATTGCCCGAAAACCCAAGCCCTTAAAAGCGCACTTTCTCCACGTACTTGTCGAGGTTTTTGAAAGGTTTCTGTCGCGCTATGTCCGAGTTTGAAACAAAATCGGATAGTGCATCTTTGCTCGGAATTGTTGTCGTTCACAACAGGAACGTACTATGAAAAATCCGTTTTACAAAAATAATCGCCACAGGCCAACACGTGACACTATAGAAAATCGACTGCAGCCACATTACGCGTTTATCAACAAAACTTTTTAAACGAAAAACCGTTAACGCTGTTAGATAACTTTGATACGTTAATATACGTCAAGCTACGTACGTTATCAGTCTCTTCACATTATTTAGACACCTCATATAAGAAGTTTTTTTTCATTATTCGATCGAGTTTTTTTTTGTTTTGACATCTACACGGTTCAAACACTAAATTGAATTATAGCTTATTTAATGTACTGCGCAATTAAAAAAAGAAAAACTTTCTGGTGACCCGTCTTCTATAAATAATATACTTAAACCTATAATCGTGTGATTTTTGGTGAATATTATCAAGTTTCGAAGTATAGATGGATCAAAATAAACTTTTAAGAGGTATCAGAATTGTTTAAACACATTTTTTTTTTGAAAATCTAATCAAGGCACAATCAACATATCGTATATTTTCATTTTCAACTTTTGATAATGTTCCAAAAAACGGAATATCCACATCATTCAAAACTAATTCAAATTATAGATATTTTATTGTACTATATGACTGAAAAAAAAAGGCGTCTGATTCGTCTCAGAATCGGATTTTAGATGTAAATAGTTCAATTCTTGGCAATAATGTTAAATTTTTTTAATTTCTTACAAACACCAATCGCGAACGTTTTATGATAGCCATTATTGTTGCTACCGAATAATTAATACTAAATATTAATACTAAATATAAAAATGGCTTTATTTAACTTACAATTTTTTCTAGTCGGAGAACCTGAAAGATTGTTAAGATTTAATATTATAAAAAACAAGTCATATAGAGCGATTCTTTATTCACGAGCATTATTTTTATAATTATTTAATCAAAATAAAATAATAATAATAATAATAATTAAAATTTATTAATGTTTTTTTTTAAATACATCCTTTCTCATTTTATCGATTACGAATTGTTTTATAATTTATCCTTTACATTTTGACAAGTATGTCAACATAATTTTTCTTAACGACAACATACATAATTCAATTAGAGTAATCTAATCAAGAAAACAACTTGGTTGATTACAACTTCTAGATCAATAGCTCAAGAGTAATTATACCTAAGAGGTATAAAAAGTGAGTGGTATAAGAGTGAGGCCGGAAAACGTCAAGCGATAAAAATAGCAGCATCCTCTGCGTTATACCTTTAATCGTTATTTGAAATTGTTAATAATTTCTAAGGCACCGGTCTAAAGCTGTTATGGACCAGACGTTTTCTTCGTAAGACTCTTTTTAAATTAATAAGTTAGTTAATTATGTATGTCGTCATTTAAAAAATCAAGTTGACACCCTTATGGCATCAACTCGATCAATGTTAATAATTTAAACTTAACTTATTCGGCTAATGTGAAGAATAAATATAAAAAAATACTTCGTGATTTATAATTCGAGAAAATTATGCAATTAAAAGAAAAAAAACTATTAAAAAAATTGTTTTTTTTCGATTATAAACGGTTTATTATTAAAGAATAATCCTGCGTGTTTTTCAATACTTACCTTTGGAAATTATTATTAAAAAAGCCGTTATTACATACGAGTACTGATAAAAATCCTAAAACGCAAAAATCAAAGTGGCATTATAATATTTCCATGTATTTATCTCAGGTAATACAGGGCACTTTTACAAAAGCAATAGAACAGTAATGGGTAGTTTAAAGTCGTCTCATGATTATCGGAAGCTATGTTTCTGATGTAAAAAATATTATGCAGATATTTAGAAAGTTAACTTGAATTAAACTTCTAAATTTTAAATACACGTGTGTAATGCGTATAGCCGTCAATAATTAAATAAATTATCTACACAGTCGAACGTGCCGGTTAAATACCTATTATTATATCAGTCGTATCAATCTACAGCGCTAGCAAAATGTGTTACAAGTATTATTATGACACACAAAATATTTGTTCACGAAAATCAAGTAATTGAATCTGTAAAATATTTATCTGTCCAAATTCCATAACCATCGCTTCAAGTCAAGTTTTGTACGGTACTTGAGGAACTCGATAATAATGATTTCAAAATTTAAATTACAACGGTGCAAATTTACAGTGATTTATTTAATAATTAAATAAAAGGGGTAATTTAAGTTATACTAATGATTAATTGTAAACTTTTTCGCAATTCGATTTATTTCACTTAAAATAGAACTGAATATTTTCTGGTTAAACTTACCATATTTTAATAAAAATATAACTTTACTGTATATGAAAATGTAGCATTTGAATTTAGCTCAAATATCTTTGTGTACCACCACATGCATAACATGAATAAATTGTAATATAATAATCTATATCTATATACAAATGTCGTAAATGTTATGTTTGCTTGTCATTTTAGCAAAAATTTACGTACAACTAAACAAATAAAAAATTAATTCGTGCGATTTCATAAGAATTTCGAGTGTATTTGTCGGTAACAGCGTAAGAATTTCATTAAGCCTCGAATAAAATGTTACACTTGAAATTCTATATAATATTTTTGATTTAGTGCAGAATCAAACCCAAACTTTATTACAAACTATTCTTTGTGTTATATGCGGTGTGCTGTTCATTTATTTTTAGCTTGGACGCGTACACGAAAATCTGATTATTCATTGAATACAATGTATGATATTTATGTGAATATTTTTACAGTATTACAAGAAAATTATAAAAACAACGCACCAATACAACTCTATGTGAAACGTATAATAATCACAAAAGATAGTGCGTAGCAATTAACACGTTCGATTAATAAAGAAATAACAATAAAGTCAGAGACACTTCTTGCGTACAATAATGATTTCAAGTTTTCTATAAAAGTCCACAATAACACCCTCTCTCTCTCTCACTATGTAAGACTAGTTATACTTAGATATAAAATAAAAATAAATGCCGAGTATATTTATTTTAAAATGTATCTCAAACTTCAGAAAGGTAATAATTCGTTAAAAATCGATTGGGTTTAGAGAGTTAAGTATTTTGAGCAGGGATTAAAAAATCAGTATTTCTTGACAAAACCTTTTCAATCTAAAGCCGATACAAAAAAATGAAACCACAAACATTGTTTGGTTTCAGTCTGTGATATTGAGTAATTAAATTGAATAGGAATAACGCATAATCGAGAGATTATTAAAAATAAAATATTAATTATATCAAACCGATTATTTAGCGTTTATACGGAACCAATTAACAAAGTTATGTGTTGGACATGTTTATTTCAGTAGTCAATTAACAAAAGTTATGTATATTTGTTTCAGATAGAGGTTCATATACCGGGTAGACCACATCTAACTGAAAACTCTTATAATTTTCGGTACAATTATCATTTGGCTGTAATTATTTTTATAAAACAATTTTTGCAAACTGATTTTTAAACTGCGTTAAAAGCATATACTTTATTGTAATAATATTACTATATTTAATTTAATATTTGGTTTGGGTCGAGTATACGCTTTCCCACAGTACACCGTGGCCACGGTTGATGTAACTACCTTTATAAAACCCTCAGATAGACTAATGATAGACCTTCCGCCTACTATTACACAAGCAAATAAACGGCTCGTGAATCAAACGATACCTTCTATATGACATAGAACATAACCATCCGATACAACCGTTATTTTGTACAAATAATCCTTATTTTTAAAACATTCCACCTCAATTAAAAACGCTGTCGTTTATTATCATTGCTCTACTTGTTTCATGGACTTAATGTTTTTTTTGTCAAACTTATATTTTATACGTACCGTCTTATTTCTTCGAATCATTGATCCTCGGGTTAATATCCACATTTTAAGCCTTTGGTTGACTTCCTCCTTATTTTCTCTTATCACCCTTTGATATCATAAACAAACAACATATACTATGGTACATTTCCACACACCGTACGTTTTGAAAATCCATAGATTATATTTCTCTAACTTTCGACAATCTATACATTTTTTTTTCACTTTCCTGAGTTTCTCGCTTGTTGTACAACTCATCGAACTTTTTAGACTTGGCCTTTGTGTAAAGATTCAACAATTGTTGAAGTCAAACTTTTGCTTCTTTACATAAACTTTTTTAATCTATCCAATATTTTGTTATACCATTTTGGATTTCTGAAAAAAAATTATTCCACTTCTCACTAAAAAATATTCCAAAAAGTCAACACAAATCGTGGGAACTCGTACCTCCAGTTTTTTAGGCACATGTGTTACCAATAGAGGTTGCTGCGATTGCCGGACCATAAAAAGAGCTATACAAGCTAGTTAAATTTTCAAAGTCGTCTGTCTTCGTTTAGGGGATGCGTTGGCAAAAAAATCAAAGTAAGTGCAACTATGCATTCATCAATGTAGATCAGATTCGTATAATTTTTTTGAAAATCGGTGATCCCTTCGCAGTGACCTCCTCTTGTTAGTACACATTCCTTATCTCTAGTATATTCGAGCTCTTTAATGATCGTACTAACGATTTACTTAATCAAAAGCATTGTTTAATTAAAGAAAAATTAATTAGTAATGTAACTCGATTATTCATAATATGTAATCATCAGTTTTAAAGAGATTGTCACTCTTTGTCTTCCCCAGTTAAAAATCATATTGATCCATGGAAAAATAAATTTTCCACTAAGAAAATTATACAGTCTAGATTTCTCAACATTTTACTAACAGATATCGATAACACAATGTATATCGGTTGTTTCTACAACACTTATCGTCATCTGACATTATACGTACACATTATTAAACATTTCAGGAAAACACCTGTTTCGATAGCTTTATTAAATATTAACGTTAGTTGTTAACGCTATATTATTATCAATCGTTTTCATTACACAGTCAGGCTAATATTATAGTATCAACGAAAATTTTTTTTTTAGTTATTTTCGATAAATTTCAACTTTATCTACATTTGTTGGTTTTAAAAATTACACATAACGTCGCTATTATAATTTAAATAATAACACTAAGATTTTACAAAACCTAAGGACCTTACATTTTTAGATAAAATAAACTCGTACATTGGCGATAAGTTGATTTAATTTATCTAGTGATTGCGTTTTATTTTTAACTATTTTATTTTGTAGTCATAATTTTTTGAGATTGGTGTTTTATTTTTTTATAATTTCTCTTATTACTTTCCTTTCTGAGTAAATTTTATATTGATTTCTAAAAAAAAAAAAAATTGTTTTTGGTAGAAAATACTTCTACTTTTTAATGACTTCTTGAAGAAAAATGTTTATAATTTAAAAAATTTCAATGAAAAATATACATTACGTGAACGCCTTAGTTTTTTAATGAAAATTTTTTCTTTATTATCTATCCATACTGGTATACCTTTAATTATCCACTATTTTAATCCTATAATTTACGCTTTATTCTAAAACTTATTTTACAGGAAAAATACCTATTGTTGTTTTGTAATACTTACATTAAAAAAATAATCAATTTATTTTATAACCGTAAGATTATAAAATGGGCGTTTCCGCCAAAAATGACCGTATTATTTCCGCCAAATCTGATTAAGGTAGGTTTAAATAGAAGCTTGAGAACCACTGGTTAAAATATATGCCAAAATAACCCGATAATAATTATCTACTATTCATTTAATCGAACTTTTTACTATTTTTTTATTGTTATTAGATAGCAGTGCATTTATAATTGTGAATCATTTCATTCACATTTTAATGAACAATTTATTAAGGCGCATCCTTCTATTAATAATTTTTTTTTTATTTTAATGAAAAATATTTAGTTTTATAATTACATTAAAATATATAGTTTTGATAATGCAGTCTCAAAAAGCGTACGGAATAAAATAGAAATCTGTTTCAGAAAAACAAAAAAGACAAGCGATAAATTTAATAACAATGAAATTAGCTAATTTGAATTTGTGAAATTAGTTTTCAAGAACTATCGAAAACTTTATAGATCATAGATATAATAAAAAATAGATATTTTTTATTATATTATTACAGGTATAAGATATTTTTTAAGCTTATTGTTAATGTTTGAATTTTATTGTTTATTTTAATGTTTTGATGACTTTTTATTTTCTTATAAACTATAATTTTATTATTCATTACAAATAAATATACAGGGTGTTCAGTAAGTCAGGAAACGGGTTTCTATTGTTCTCATTGTTTGTAACAATGAGAACAATAGAAACCCGTTTCCTGACTTACTGAACATCCTGTATACATATCTATTAGAATTTAGTCACTTTAGGTAAAACGTCATATTTTCTTTATAAAGTTATGTCTATGTGATAAAATAAGTAATTATTCAAAACGACGTGACCATATTTAGAGGTGGTTAAGGGGGTCAAAAATTCTTGGGAGCAAATGTCATTTGATGCTCATTAATTTTAATACCCCACGCTAAAATCTTAAAAAAAGGCCTGAACGTAACATTCAATAAAAGCCAAACAATTTGGTACTGGCAACTACCTAACCTGCCCGTATGTTAAAACCGATACTGGTTCGTCGTGGTGACCAATGGATAAAACTAAATGGTTCTCAAATTTTTTAGTAGATAGACAGGTAGAGGATTAGTTTGGCGGAAACGATAATCTCTCTTATAAAATATATCATTTCGATTTCTTGTTGTAATTAGCGCTTTTAAATTATTAAAATTATTCAAACAGATATTGGACGTATGTTGTTATTATAGTACAAATATAATTATAATTATATTCGTCTTAATCGACATCAGCGTACCGTAATGAATACCAATAATAGAATATGACTTTTTAATCGTTGTAGTTAGAAAATATATGGCCAGTGTGGTAACGTGAACGACCATTTTTACTTTTTGTATCTCGTTTATAATGGAAGTAAATTGATGTTTGATCATTATGTTTAAATAGCTGTATAAAATATTAATATTAAAATCTTTACATGGGTAAATTCAAATTTATCGAATAAAAATATTGCAGTATTATAGTTCAGTGATTTGATTCCAGTCACTCAACACTGCCTATTAAATAGGCAGTGTATTATTATAGCCAAAAGTTAAATCTGATGAATAACAGTAGCCTACTATATCGTGATGAACGCTTAAAATGTTAAAACGATTTTTTTAAATAACACACTTTATTTTCGATTTTATTGAGACATTACTACACTTTTTATATTTACCGCGAAATCATCGATTTTGACGAAACAAACAGTCAATTAACTTTCTACCTTATTTAATAGTAGTTTCTCGATATGATAGACACAATATCAGACATTAATAATTCACGACAGTTATTTTGCTTCGTTTGTAAAAAGAGCTACTCGTTACAGACGATTTAGAATTTTTATTCCTTATAGTCCATTTTTTGATATGTTATGTTATGTCAAACTCTATTTGAAATTACTAGGCGAGACGTGTTGACTTTTTTCAACTATTTTTTTTAAGTATTCATATAATTCCATGATAAACAATTGATATTTTAATTTTAACGCGACGTTTTTATTATTTTTCTGAATGTCTACGTAAACAGTGGATGTTACTAATCGTTATTTGTACGATCTATTAACGCGAAAAACAAAAAAACTTAACCGTAATCGTTGAAAATATTTTTTTAACGTGCGAAGTTCCAATTTAAACGGAGAAAATCATTTATTTTGATAATAATAATACAATATGCTTTTGAAAAAATCAAAAAAAAAAGTGCAAACATTTTGGGGTTGATCCGAATGTCGTGGCTCCAGTGCTCCAAGCACATGCGTTACAAATAGGTTTCTGCAATTTTTGAAATCGTAGAAAAAAGACGATAAAAGAGCTATATGAGCTAGTTAAATTTTCAAAGCCGCCTGTCCCCGTTTAGGAGAGGCGTTGGCAAACTAAGTGGTTACACTTACATTTAATTTTTTGCCAATATATTCAATGTACATAAGATCCCAATGACTTTTTAGAAAAGCAGTAATCCTCCCTTCGTAAACCTAATCAAATCATTATTCTTAGACGATTAATATCAATAAGTTAAAACGGCTATATAACTAAAGATTTGCCAATACAAATGTGGATATTAGCCCAAGGGATCAAGGATTAGTGGTAATAATAGACGGTACGTATAGAATATGGGTTTGACAAATTAAACATTAACTAGATGAAACGAGGAGAGCAATGATAATAAACGACGGCGTTTTTAGGTTGTAAATTTTAAAAATTCAGGATTATTTATACGAAATAACGGTCTAATTGATGAGCTGTGAGACATTCATATTCTCGTCAATACAAACGTATTAGGATTAAATGCGGGTGGATTAATAACAAACTACTTGACGCCGCCATTCTTTAATAGAAAAATTGTGTCGACCAAGTAATTTGTTAATCCACCCCGTCAATATTAAGAAGCGATCGGTAGAAGATCAGATAAAATCTCATTTGTGTTAGTGTTAAAAAGACGGACGTTGCTCCCCTTCCTTTGGTTTAGTCTCTAACATCAACATGATTTTTATTTTTAGTTTTTATCGTCGATGCGAAGCTGAGAAGGTATTAATTTTACCACGATGTATTCTTTTTTTATGTCTGTTGCTATTTACTCTCAGCTCACGCCGGTCCGATTTTATTTTACGATACGTCAAAAGATCACAAATCATATCTAGTTGAAGACATTGCTCTTAAAAATAGAAAAAAATTCCATCGTTTCTCGTCAAATTCCTCCAAAAAATTACCATTTTTAAAATCTGCAAATTTTGACGTTTTTTCACTTATTTCAATAAAACTGCTATAACTTTTTAAAAAATGAACAAATAAACATAACTTTTTTTTATATTAAAATCTCAAATAATTTCCTTTAATTTTGTATATATTTTTGAAAATTTGACTCTTTACCTGCACGCAGAAGAAAATTCAAAATAGCGACTCCTGCACAAAAATTGAACTTTTTCAACTTAAATTTTAAAATGTTTTGGAAATACTCCGAGTTTCAAACATATGTAAAATTAAAGCTTATGTTACATACTATAAATTAAAAAATAAATTTTGATCCGACGACTTATCTTCTTCATGTGCAAACGGCTGCCATAGTTTTAAAAAATACCATTTTTTTATTAAATTTTTTGATTTTCAATTATCAACTTTAATTTGCTAGAACTTTTGGAAAAATGTATAAATCAACACAAATTTTTGTTTCGAAATATATTATATATACTCCTTTTATTCGACATACTTTTTTTTTAAATCGACGAATTTCCTCTTATACAGNTACTTTTTTTTTAAATCGACGAATTTCCTCTTATACAGGGGGCGTTCATAACTTGAAACATATGTATAAAAAGTAGAACTTTTTCATCAAATTTTGAAAATGCTTCGGAAATACTGCGCCCATTAATCATATGTTACATTAGAGCTTACATTATGTAATATAAATTTAAAAAAAAAATTTTTCCTATGACCTATTTTCTATGCGCAAACGACCGTCAAAATTGAACAAAAAGAATAGTTGATTTTGCTTTTGGAATAATCCACCAATTTCTTAAAATTCTATAACTCTATCTATAGATTAGCATCGAAGCGTTTCTTATGATTGTGATTTTAATCGCTGTCAGATATCGTCTGCATTCGCGTCAACTATGTCATGTCCATATTGTGCCGCGACCCCATTGTGCTAACATTTGTTTTTATACTGTTATACTAGTATATTAGTATTTTTTCTTCTAAACATTGCCATAACTTATTGAAAAATTAACAAATTGAAATAATTCTTTTTTTTTTTTATATTGAAATCTTCGATATTTTCCTTTTATTTGATATAAATTTTTTGAAAATCTGACCCTTACCTAACTTCCACAGAGGGAATGCAAAATAGAAACTTCTGCACAAAAATTTAACATTTTTAAATTGAGTTTTGAAAATGTTCCAGGAAGACTCCGAGCTTCAAACATATGCTAAAATAAGATCTACTACTATAAGATCGAAAATAAAAATTTGTCCCGACGACCCATCTTTTACGTACAAATTTACGATTTCATATTTTATGTTTTAAACTTTAAATTACTAATAATTTTTTGAATACTGTATGGATGAATACAATTTTTTTCATAAATACTTAATGTTTACTTCTTTAATTTCACATACTTTTTTTTTTAATCTGACCACTTTTCTTTATACGTATGGGTGGGGTTATATCTTAAAAAATTCGTGTAAATAGCAGAATTTTTTCAACTTAACTTTAGAAAATGTTCCGGAAATATCCCGATCTTTAAATATATGTCAAGTTAAGTCTTATGATAAATACTATAAGTTCAAAAAAAAAATTTTATCCCAACATCTTTTCCTCTATGGGGAAATGACCGTCGAATTGAACAAAAAATGTAATATTTGTGTAAAAATCACCGTTTGCCGTGTAAATATTTTGATACTTAAAACTGCCATAACTTCTTTAAAAATGAATAAATAAAATAACTCTTTTTTTATATTGAAACGTTAGATGTTCCCCATTAATATGAGATACATTTTTTTGAACTGATTTTTAACCTGCCCATAGGGGGGATTCGAAAAAGCAATTTTTGCATGCAAGTAAAACTTGTTCAACTTAATTTTTAAAAATATTCTGGAAATATCTAAACTTTTATTTAATCTCAAATTAAAGCTTATTTAATATAAAAAAAAAATTATAGATATAGATCTTTATGGTGATCATATATGGTATCATCATACTCCAGAATACGCTATTTTCGTGTTAAAGTTCTTGGTATTGTATTTTAATTTACTTTAATATAACTTAAAAGGGGAGTACAGTGATTTTATGAATATTACATAAATCTAATTAAGGTAGAATATAAAAAGTAAAACATATTGAAAGTTTTAATTGCCAATTATATCGAACCACGAATACGACGAATGTTTGTTGAATCGGTAACACTAGTGTCTTTCAATGAGGCTTTTCTTATTGGTATAAAAAGTAGTGAAATTAGTTTCGTAGATGTTCAAATTTAGCCTTTTATGTTCTTATTATTAATTAATATTAAGTTATTATTAATTGAATTAGTATTAATTTAGTCATTTTATTTCCCTATGATAGTTTAATTTTAAAATTCAACCTAATTGCTACCGTAGATTTTATCTATTTCAAGTGTTGGCTAATATCATGAAGTATAAAAATTAAAAGTATATTTATTCATATGTTATACTTTTAGATCATAGAACCACTAATCAAGATATAATTAAGGAATTAAGAGTTGATGTTGTTTTTGT